AAAAAGATTTGTCATTAGTCACCATGGATTGCGAATCAATTTTAATACCTCCATTTCAATCATATGTTCTTTTGAGGTGAAAAGGAGGTAAAGTACACTTGCATGTCTCGAAAGTAATGCAAATGTCATTTTAAGTCCATTCAAACCTTAAAAGAGCATATAGTTGAGATTATGGACAAATTCAATATGTGATGTAAATGCCATTTTGTCATACTCCATTTAGACCATAAAGTCTTAAACTATGAGTTGCAACTTCAAACACATTAAAATAAGCATTTGAATTACATGAGAAATTCGCCATGGACCTATACATTTCTTCTAAAAATGAAAGAATGGTCAAATGGAGTATAACGCCCTAATCATGCATTCTAAAATGAAGGGCATTTAGACCAAGCATTCATTGTCATTTAGGCATTTTTTAAAAATGTGTCAACTATCATGCATAATTGTAAAAGAATGGAATGGAACGATACTTGCTTACCATGATATTTTGGTTTGGTTTTAGGTATACCAACCACAAAAACAAGCGAATACAACCAAATAAGTTTTGACGCCTAAAAGGGTAGGATATACTAAAGGCTCAACGTCATCACTTTAATGGATAAGGGATTCCATTCCAATAGGCAATCGGCCTAAAGTAATGGAATATTATTCCACCTCGGTGATCGGCATTGTATTTAAATGATCCTATGAGTAATCGGCCCATAGTTCCGCCTAAACACATACCTCCTAAGGGTAATCCTAAATGTAGCCGGGGTTGGGCCACGGGTGGTGTGTGCTAATGGTGTAGTGCTAAAGCAATTTAAAGACATGCATAGCAATTAATGATCAAACAACACTTCTAAAATTCATTTAAAACACATTCAATCCCAACATCATCCTGCAAAACAAGGATTAACAAAGACAACACCCCTTATAACACCCGCCTGCAAAACCATTTAACACTATCATTAGCGGGACGTACCTGGGATCCTTGCAAGCACAAAATACAAGCATATCATTCTATGTAGGCCTAAGTCCACTTAGAAAAGGTTCATTTTCCCCAGTGGAGTCGCCAAGCCTGTCACGCCGCGCTTTTGGGGGTTTTTTCGGGATTTGCGCGCTAAGGAGGTATTTCAGTATAAGGGTCTCTCCCAGACCATACCTCACGTGACAGTGGAAGGTGATTTCTAAATTTGTAATTTTGGAGTAGCCACTGGTCATTATTGATCGGTAGACTAGAAACCTAATGGAGGTACAGGAAAAATACCCCGATCCTACGAACCAAAGCTTCTGAGTACGGGGACTTGGTTACGTTATTGATCCCAAATTGAGATCCCTAATGCCCTTTCGGTACTAAGAATGATATGATGTTTAACGTGTCATGCGAATTTTCGAGGCTTACCCACTGATCATGTCTGTTCTAATTGCAGGAAAAACCAAACAAGCATTAAATGCACAATCAAAGTCAATCAAGTCAATCAATCCTAAGTGGTCTCTAAAATGAAAATCAATCAAAATACACAAACCCTAATGAAGCTCTAATAGCTTGTTCATTTCATGATTTACACATTTTTAGGGTTTTAGGATTTTTTAGGAGTTATAACCCCTGAATTTGGGATTTTCTAAAAATGCCACTTGGGCACTTCCGAAAATTCAAATTTCACTTTTTATGGTTGGCCACGATGAATTTGGACCGTTCTGTGAACTTTCAAAATTTTTTATTTTTTTTCGGAAAAATTTAATCAAAATCGAGAACTGATTTTTATGGGTTTCCGAAATTCTTTATGAATTTTCCAATTTTTCAATTTTTTATTGATTTTTCTGAATTTTTTTTATTTTTTTATTTGTATTTTCCGAATTTTCTAAATTTTTATGAATTTTTCGAATTTTTTTGGATTTTTCTGAATTTTTTGAAATATTTTTGAATTTTTTATGAAATTTTCTAATTTTCTGATTTTTTAAAAAAATTTCTAATTTTTTTATGTATTTTTTGTGATTTTTTATTTTTTTATTTTTTGGATTTTTTTATTTTTTTTAAGAAATTTTTTAAATTTTCCCGCCTGGGAAACGAACCGGACCAGCCCGGTTCAACCCGATTCGACTTGGCCGAACCGGACGTCGCCGGCACCGGTCGCCGATCACCCCCTTTGGCGAACCCAATGCCGAAACGGCATCGTATTGGGTGTTTTTCATTGAAGCATTTTTGCAAACACCTGGTATGCACTATTTCCATTTCAACGTTCTCGAGCTCACGACTTTGAGCCCATCGTCGGCGACCTTCCGGCGACTATCTCACCGTTCCGTTTACACCATTATCAAGTTCATATGTTGCAGTATCAGATCGCTGCCGGACGTTCGCCGGCTGGCGAAAAACCGGTCTAAACAACCTAATTTGTAAACTATTCTAAACAAGATTTTCCAGAATACTAATCGTAACACTAACCGCCCTAGCCATCTAAATCGGTACTAACAATTATCAAAACATCAAACAAGTGATCAAAGAATACTGACTTGAGTGACATAAAGCCACGGCGACACTCCGGCGAGGACTTCCGATCTCCGGTGAGGTGATTCAATGAGCAACCGAGACGTTTTTATACGGGTTTTCCAATAAAAAAATGTAATCAAATCAAGTAAAACATGATTAGAACACATTTTAGGCACCTAATATAATAAAACCATAGGAAAACATGCACAAACAAACCAAAACACTATTCTCGAATTTCTGGAAAAAAACATGATTGCGAGCGAAGTTTACCTTCTTCGTCGGACGATTAAACGAAATTGTTGAAGTGATCCGCCCCCCAAAGGATCGTTCCTTGATTCTCTCTCTCTCTGGTTTTGCTTGGTTTCTCTCTTTCTCTCTCTGGAATTTCGTCGAACAAGTTCCCCTCTCCTCGAGTCAGTTTTCTTCATTTTTTGTTGATCGATTCCCGCCTAAATTCGATTAAAACCGATTACCGATCGGTTGGGATCGATTAACTGGTGCCAGCCGGACATTTTCCAGCTGGCACAATCGATTAAAACGTGCCAAAATTAGCTAGAAATGATCGATGAAGTCTCGGGTTTGGAATGGTTTTCTGGGTTTTGTGCACGTGTTGGCTAAATTGGGTGAAGAAGATGATCTACCCGGGTCGGGTCGGGTTGACCCGACCGACCCGGCAGACTTGGGTTGGTCCAAATTCTCAAATTCGACCCAATTTTGACCCAATTTTCTAAATTTAACCCCAAAATTGAATTCCTCATCATATTCCAAACCCAAATATATAATGTGCCCCAATTTTTATTATAATTGTGTCTCAAATTTTCTCATTTTTATATTCGGGTTAATAGGGTTTTGTTTAATTTGATGTCCTAATAACCTGATTAGGCAAAATCGATGCCAAAATTGAATTACCCACACCTGATTAACCCTAAAAATGATGGTCTCACATTTCAACAATTTCATATTGGGCACGATTCCCAATTTGAGTTCAAAATTCTTAATTTTCAATCAAATTTTGGGGATTTTTTTATTTTTATGTCAAATTGTGCAATTGAACCGACCATTATGCAATTCAAGGTGCCAGAATCAATTGTTATGAAGACACTATGACTTAAAAATGACTAGAAAAAATTTAATTGTATTTTTGGTTCAATTTGGGTTTAATTTTGCCCAATTTTGGGAATAACATATACCCAATTGAGATTTTTCAAAATTGATAATTTATTTATTAAATTGGATTTAAAATAAGACTAATGACCATTTTTATGGAATTTTCTGATTTCATTTGCTATTTTTCTTGATTTTCTCGCCTATTTTGACTAAAATAAATTAAGGAAAAATGCTAAAAAATTATTTTTTTGGTTTAGAAATAGGTTTCTAGGCTTGGCCAAGATTCCTAGTCCTAATTTTGAAAATTTTGAAATTCTTTGAAAATATGAAAAAAAAAATGAGCTAAAAATTAGGTGTCAACAAATATTAAATATTAGGTGGGCTTTTTACAAAAAAAAAAAAAAGAAGAAGAGAGAGTGCATGTATGCTGAGAACAGAAAACGACACCGCTTAGCTTTTTACAAAAAAAAAAAAAAAGGAAGAGAGAGTGCATGTATGCTGAGAACAGAAAACGACGCCGCTTAGTGAAGAAATTTAATCTCTCTCTCTCTCTCTCTCTCTCTCTCTCTCTCTCTCTCTCTCTCTCTCTCTCTCTCTCTCTCTCTCTATTTTGACTCGCTCGTTCCGCAAGCAAGTGCTAAGTCAAGAACTCACTCGCAGGCCAAGACATCGGAGCCGAAGAAGCAGCACCCGAAAGCAGTAGGTGCGGAAGATTTGAGACCAGCAAATTCTTCACCATTGACGGACTATCACTTCACATTGAAGCACGCGAATGGAAGATTTTAGCCTGATTTGGATATGATTGTGGCATGGGAGGCTCTTCACTGAAAGTGAAGTGAGAAAGATGAGAAGAAAGAGGTGAAAATTTGTACAGCATGAAATATTTTGCCCTAATCTTGCTTGATCACCTCTGATGCTCGACCTGAAAATTTTGCATTGACAGTATATTCACCTTCATCTTGGCTTTGTTGAAACAATTTTGTGCCACTTGTCTTGCTCTTGCTCTCCGTTGCAAGATTTAGTTTTAATACTGTCCCAAATTGCGTTGGTCCGAATTAGGATTTAAATTTGGGGCAAACATGTTAAACGATATCGCTTAGGGCTATTAATGCTGACTCAGAGCACCAGTGAGCCACGTCGGTTGGAAAAAATGATAAAAAAAAAATGCCATGTCTGATTTTCAACACCCCAAATCGGCAATGGCAACTAAATGATCGTTTTCTTTTACAAAAGTAGAACTAAAGTGATTCGACAAGAAATTTTGGCACTACAGTTTGAAAATTATAGCACTTCTAATATCATTTTCCTTATTTAATAGGTACAAAGGAAACTCCTGATGCTTAATTGCACGAGTAAGAAAGCACCATGGTAGTAATAATACATTATTTTGGATGGAACAGAAACTTCTCACATTCAGAACATATGTTACGATGGAAACTTATTAGAATGGTGCAGAAGTGCATCCTTCGGTACAAAATACAGATGATTTATTCCCAATGGCATGTCAACAGCCTTTTGCACTAGCAATGAACTCAAAGCAGACAACATCCAGATTATGACACGGTACAAGGAGGCATGTCTTTCGGCGGCGGAAACACCTTCTGATGCTTTTCCTTCCCGTCTCCGACGATGAGGACTGTGTCCATTCCCCAGCTCGCATGGCGTTCTAAGTGACAGTGCATGAACCACACTCCTACAAGCATCCGTAAAAGACTAATCTGTCAACTATGCATTCATATGCAAGACAAAATTCATGCAAAACTAATGTCAAAATGGTAGATACATGATAATAAATGCTATTCCTTTGAAAACAAAAACTATATGTTTCTATGCGTCTCTACCGATGAATTCATAGTACCTGGATTATCGGCTTTGAATCTGATCGCTGTCCACCCATTTTTGGGGAGTCCGACGGTGTTAATATACGGTGGATCCACCGTATTATAATCCGACACATAAGAGTCGCTGAAATTTCCATCGCCCATTCCGACGACATAAAAGCTATAGCCATGTAAATGCATAGGGTGATTTTCTGCTGCTCCTAAATTGGTCCCTTGAAATCTTATTTCGACCTCCTCATTATAGTTAATCATCAACACTTCGGTACTCACATTGGTTGCTTCCCCTATGGCCGATACATTCCCGGTGTAGTCGAACACGAAAGGTGGTTCATCCGGAAAAGTTTTGTTGTAGACTCCTATTAGATTGCTGCACACACAACACAAACATAATGTTATAGAGACATTTAGATGTTGGATTATGCCTTCGCTTTAAGACAATGAAGGTTTTAACCAGTTAAATTGGTTTGATTTGGAGAATATTTCAGCCTAATCAACTCTATCGGTTTGAGAAAATTATTCAATCCTAACAAATAGGATCAATATTGGTAGGTCTAGCGATTTACGTACTTGTAGTATGCTTGGAGAATGCTAATTGACGGAGCCCAAAAACTTATGTTGTTCAAGCTTGCCGAATGCATACCGCCGTTTGGACCACTACAATTTTTATTAGCGGGACACGGCTGGCTATTCACGGATACTGTGATCGTAATGTTCCTAGTGATGTTGGTTGGAACCGTGGACGGATGTTCTTCACTATTCAAACTCCTCAACTGAATAGTGAAGTTTCCAGCATCACTCTTGTTGGTAAAACCTGGAAGCTCGGGTGACACGGGAGTCTCTGAGTGGTTATAAATGCCATTGTATTGGAATATCCCCATTGTGATGTTTTCATTGGACGGGGCGGTAGTGTCCACAAACGGACTAAAAACCATGTAGTAGCGACCAGGGGTTTGGTTCGCGGTGACCAAAACGTCCATTGTTTGACCGGGAGTTATCATGAGGTAATCAGTATTAAGCGGCTTCAAATAAGCTCCGTCCATTCCGACCACAGTGATATTGTGCTCGGCTATGCCGAAGAACATCTCTTCGTTCATCCCGGAGTGGATGATCCGGAGGAGATACGTTTTGTTTTGCACAACTGTTATATTGTATGCCGAACCTGTGAAAGAAAAAAAAAACAAACCATATCAAATAGTATTAACGGAGATCCTGACATTACTCATATTATATATCAAATCATCGTTAATTAATTTAAGGCACAATAATTTCGCAGAGATCTCATTTCATTAATTATAGATTAGTAAGGTTTTATTTCATTACCTATGAATAAGACCATTTCTTTTAACTATTAATAGTATATATCACACTCATTTATATACGAGAATTAGTACCGTTAGAGCATGTATAACTGTCTCCCGGTTGACCATTAATGGTATAAGCCACGGACAAGTCCGGATCGCCTCCAGATTCAAGAGCCTCGGTGATTATGTCCATCACATCTCTTGCATACCATTCAGCTGCATGCCAAATCATAATTTTGTTAAGAAAAATAATGCAAACTATGAAGATGTGTGCGTGTGTTTAATTGAGTGAAAAACTGATTTATGTCATTTAAGTTAGTTGAAAGTAGCATACAAATCACGATTGTGTGTTGTACATCAAACTCATAAGGGTAGGTGTCGTTGATGGGCAAAATGATTATAGGACCGTGCACGGTGGCGCGTGACCAGTCGCTATGCGCGTGCCACCACACCGTGCCTTCTTCTTCAGTGAGTATGATTTTCTGAAGGAAGCTCGAGTTCGTAGGGATCGGGCACTGCGTGACGTACTCTGGGCCATCAGACCAGGGATACCGGATTTGTCTCACTCCATGCCTACAGGTGTGTATGTTATTAGGGAGAGAGAGAGAGAGAAGAGAGAGAGAGAGATGGTTGTATTATTACCAGTGAATAGTGATGCCATAAGGTCCTATGTTGGTGACATTAACGTAGATGGTGTCGCCCTTGTAAGCACGGATCTCCGGCCCAGGAAACAGACCATTCACGGTCAATATGGTTCGATTTGTCTCACACAACATGTCAATAGGTGTCTCCTTTACCTGCAACAAAAATCACCCTATGAATCTTGGACCATTATAACTATGAAATAATTTGTCTTATTAAATTGATGCAGAATCCTTTTTTAATATATTCAAAGGCCTGCAGCTGAATTTTCTTCTGGATAAAGACTCCAAACGGGGTTGGAAACTACATCCCAAAAGAATAAAATATATAAATTATTCAACTGTAGCTATTGCCGGATTACTACTAAACTCTCAAAAAGTCGAAATCTTCAGAAAAATTGCGTGTAGTTTGGTATTTGAATGCTGTAATGCTCGGCCTTGAGCATACTCCAATATTTAGCTGGCTGAAGATATAGATGTGAAGATCATTGTCAAAATAAGGAGATTGGTGGTCAACTTTACAGACTCTTAAAGAGTCTAAAACGGGTAACAATCAAATGCTCGAGTAGTCACGAAATGTTCAACAAGGGGATGTTCCTACTCACCACCCAATCATAGTAATGGACATCGCCTTGAGCGATGCAGAAGAGCAGGGTCAGAGTGACCGCAAACCCTAGAAATGTTCCCATCGTCTCTCTCTCTCTCTCCCCCTCTCACTTGTACCAATCACTTGATGCAGAACTAAAAAGAAGACTTGTGTTATGCTCACCTTCACCTCCCACTTAAGGGGGCAATATATAGGAGAAACTCCCTTCAGTGTGGTGATCGTTGTCCCAACCCTATTTCTTCCTCGACTCTGCCCCACTCGAAAACGAAGCCGTCGTACAGCCCACGGAAACAAGTGATCTATGAGCATTCGTCATTCAAAGGCTCGTGCTCGTTTTTCCCGTGTTTCCACGATGAAGAAGAAGATTGGTTGAAAAGCACCCCAGAGGAACGAGCTGATAAACTTCTCTTAACTGCTGCTAGAAGTCGAGAGATATGCAGCAGAGAAAAATGAATTTTTTTTTTTAAAAAAAAGGAAAGCATAAGAGAAAATGGTTTTTTCTAATGGTTTTTACAAGGTGCTCCAGTCATAAGGGCAAGTTTTGCCTTATGTTGAATGAATAATCACCGGAGTTAATGCGAACTATCTTTATTGGCTCCACCTGCAATGCACTGCAGACACTTCACACGATGTTTTCTCGTGTTTTAAGAATATTTCCAGAGCGCCTGTTTGGTCAGCTGTCGCAATCAAAGAAACAAAACTCTCCAGATTTTCAGCGTGCGACTTTCTCGTGGCATGTGCAAACAAAAGTTTTACGGAAAAATTATCAAATCAGTCCTAAACCTATTGCACGGCGGTCAATTCAGTCCTAAACCTTTTAATTTTGTCAATTCAGTCATAAACCTTTTAAATTTTTGCCAATTGAGTCCTTCCTGCCAATTTTGGCCGGCCGACGCTAACGTGGCCGCCGGCCGGCGTCGACCGTCCGGTCATCACTGACGTGGCAATTTTTAATTATTTTTTTTCAATTTTTTAATCTTTTTTTTCCTTTTTCTTTTTCTTTTTTTTTCTACTGCCTCCCCTCTGGCCGGTCTTGCTACCAGCGGCCGGCCAGAGGGGAGGGCCGGCAAGGCCTTTGGCGAAGCTCGCCCCGCCGGCCACCGGCGAGGGCGAGCCTCGCCGTCGCGACCCAGGCGATGGCGAGGCGAGGCGAGGCGAGATCGAACCTTGTCGTCGCCTGGGTCGCGACGGCGAGGCGAGGTCGACCTCGCCTCGCCCAGCCGGTGGCCGGCGGGGCGAGCTTCGCCAGAGGCCTCGCCGGCCCTCCCCTCTGGCCGGCCACCGGTCGCCGGACCGGCCAGAGGGGAGGCAGTAGAAAAAAAAAGATTAAAAAATTGAAAAAAAAAATAATTAAAAATTGCCACGTCAATGCGAGGATGGATGGCATGCCGGCACGCCGGCCATGTCAAGACTGCTAGGCCAAAATTGGCCGGAAGGACTCAATTGGCAAGAATTTAAAAGGTTTAGGACTGAATTGGCAAAATTAAAAGGTTTAGGACTGAATTGGCCGCCGTACAATAGGTTTAGGACTGATTTGACAATTTTCCCAAAGTTTTACAAATCGAACCATTCCTTAAAAGGTCTGCGTGTCCGCTAGTCTTTGGAGAAACTCTTTCAATACAGCCATCTTATAAAGCATGTAAATACCCTTTTTTTGGCCCCCCGAAGAATTTTTTAATTATCGAAGTAAAGCATTTTCTGGGATTTCATGGAGAAAATCAATTTCTCCAAAAGACGTGGATAATGCAAATTGCAAGATATAGAGGAACGTAAAAGCAAATTTTTGTGTGGTTTATGTTATTTTTGCAATGTGAAATAATGGTTTATAGTCATGGCTACTTCTTTGCAACAATGAAATGGACCCCCCCCCCCCCCCCCACAGGCCGTGGATCTTCTACGGCAAGGGATGATTCATTCACAGCAGTTTTCAAAAAAAACGTGGCCTAAAAAATTGGGGGTTTTGTTGTTTATCATTGCTTTATACACGTGAAAGACCGTTTTTCGAGTAATTTAAATTGATGTCATAAACATTGTCGCGCAACATTAGTATCAGAAAAACTCTTAAACGCAATCCCGAGATTTGTTAGGATTTGGTGCACAAACACAATAAAATAGAGAGTAGACATGAGAAAGAGAAATCGATACACATGATTTTATTCCGGGTTACCCTTAAACTATGGCTATATCCAGCAAAGGATTCCACTATAATTAGCGCTTCCCACCTCTTTGTTGCAACTCTCAATTATAAGAAAAAGAGATTTTATATAGATCACTAGGTAGCTATTCATGGGCCCAAGCTCAAAGTACCAACAAAATTCGGACCCAAACTATAAAGGCACTATGGCAGCCCAGGGACGCTGTCCCCTTGCAAGCCCCGCCGGCGCGACCCCTCGTGCCTTCTTGTCAATGGGGAATATGAACTACACCTTAACAAGATTAATCCAATTTTTTGTGAACATCCTTCACTTGGATACTTGGTGATTGCGTGGTATAATTTCCCAATAGAATTATCAATTAATCCCGACATATGCTTTTGTCCATGTAATAAAATGGAAGGGTACAGTCTGTTTCCCAAATGTGAATTTTTGGTATAATTTTTGGTCAATAACAATTCTAAAGATTCCTGAAGAAAGTAAACCGAGAAACTCAAGCCATTAAGGGACAGATACCGACTGATTCTGAAAATTGCTCATGGTAGCATGAGTTAACTATGGACGTCCGATTGACCAATAAAGATGAAAGAAAATTGTGTGAACCGCATGATTATTGCTTCAACAATGAACCTCAAGATGCCACATCCGCAAACCATAAAAAAGTCATGTATGGATAAAAAATTTTATCTATTACCACTTTTTTTATAATCTAGGTACACGGGCGTGAAAATAGCTAGTTAGAGATTCACAAAAACCCCTACAGGTCTCATGAACCAATTAATTCAAAATCTTTGACCTGTGCAGGGGCCTTAATCCAAAGTAGTTTATACACAATTAGTAGGATTCGAAAATGTGATCTCCAGTTTCTCGCTAGAAATCTCCCAATGCCCCAATCAACCGAAAATTCTCTAATTTTTACTTATCTCTTTTTCTTAATCTAAATCTTGCGATGGATATCTTTGGCTTTTTCTTATCCAAAAATAATTGATACTCTCACATTATACCAATTTGACATGTAAACTCACATATAAACTCACATTATACCATGCCGGGCGCATACGTTCGAGGCTGTCCCCACCTTGTTGTTGCCTGCATAACCGGACAAGATCCTTATCGTCCTGTATTTCAACGCCATTTAATGCTCGCACAAGAATCCGAAAAGCACGTTTCTCACACACCCCAAGCGCCATGATTGGAACTTCATATTTTCCTCCGGTACACACTGTGTTCTGGGGTTCAAATGGAAAAAAAACGGTGTAGCTTTTCATTAGTCAGCGCGCTACCAAGAAAAAATTCAAAAGTAGCGTAAAACCAATGGAACTGTTAGAATATTTATGTATTAAATCATGTATTTATCTAATAATTTAAGTTTTTAGAATAATTGACAGTGATCTCACAAAATCTTATATGGTATCAGAGCTGAACGTTTTAAGTTCAAATTTTTATACGCTCAATTTACCTTCTCAATTAAATATGTTCACGCTTAGTACTAAGCAAAAAGATCAGACTAAGCTTGAGTCAGTGTATACAATAATAAAACATCATTATGATATAAATTGGAGTTTACCATGATGATCATAGAATATGTCTTTATTATATCTCGGGAATGTGGATGAAAGATTATTCAAAGAATTAGTAGCGTTGGCAACGCAATCAAGAATCATGGGCCTCACAAAATGAGAGATTCCAATGAAGTTGTGAGGATTTAATTCCTCACGAATATAAAAATAATAATAATTCCTCACGAATGTTCTAAGTTTTGCGTGAAATTTTCAACTTTTAGCGGAACCAATGGACTGTGATGCTATTTTTGGGTATAGGATGGACACTGATGACCGTCCAATCACATGATAATAACAACGCGAAGACAAAAACGAAGTTAGTTGGGAAGATTGAAAACGAGCTTACGTTGTCGTATCATCAAGCTTGTTCTTGTGGAATTATCTTGCGTAATCACCGATTAAATAATTAAACAAGGTCATGCGGGGCAATTAGAAGATAAGCATAACAAGGCTAACCTGTTAATCACTATAATCGTGGACTAGATTAACTTGTGGCCTGCGTGGACGTGACCTTATTTTTCAGTTTATTATAATGTTCCGTGGGCCGACTAGGTATAGTTGATCATGTCGTGTTTCATGCAATTATGTTTGCTATATGGGCACGTTTTTGGGCAAAAAAGTCAGAACTAGACAACACGAATGAGATCATGCTGGTAGTGAACCGGTTCACTATTCACGACCGGGGTTTCGCTTCCAAACAATTGGTGTTCAAAGTTCAAATATTCCCACTCTTGACCAGAGAAAAACATTGCGTGACTTATATACAGACCAAATATATTAAATCCATCTCTATAATTGATTATGTGGGTTCCGCAATCAATGATTGAGACGGTATTCGTCCACGTTATCTATAGAAATACGCATGCGATGATTTCTGTGGCACTACCACCAATGATGGGGCACGTAAAAAAATGACAAGATAAGCGTTAAAACATTGTTGTTCTTCATCAGATCGAATGATGATCCTATTCCTAGAAGTAGCTCGTTTTTTCACCGGCCCACACACGTACCGAACGTTGCATCAATTAGCTCGCTTAGGGATTGATCAAGAGGAGTCTAGCTCTACCGCTCTAGATGCATGCTTGCTGTAACCATTCCCTGTTGATTTCAACCAGATAGATGTAAACAATATGTTATAAATGCAATTACGTAAAAAGGATTAATTAACTAGTAAAAATATCTCATGTTTCTACCCAAAAGGATCTTCTCGATCTCAGCTCTGCTGGTCATGGACCACCTTTGTCTGCATCGAAATTATTTTGCTTTTTTTAGAGCAATGGACCACCTTTGTCTGCATCGAAATTATTTTGCTTTTTTTGGAGCAATGGACCACCTTTGTCTGCATCGAAATTATTTTGCTGTTTTTGGAGCAATGGACCACCTTTGTCTGCATCGAAATTGTTCGGTGCATGAATCATGGCAAAATGGTTAGCATACCCTACCTTACGATACTTGCACGTGGTAATATATGCAACACAATTATCACTTCAGACGTCCCAAGAGTTGAATAATTTGATTTCTTTTCAGACTGAAGGGACACCACGTGAAGAGACAGACTTTGCGTGGAGCTCTTGGAAAGAGGAAGGCAGGCCCATGCCGAGCGCATGTTCTTTTGCAGCACTGAAATGTTCAGACGTAGCCGACGGGTAAGGAGAAGGTTTGGTGTGCCAAAGAAGAAAGGAGGACAATGACATGGAACGATGGAGGATTGGCATAGTGGAGTCGATGATGTTTTTAGCATTGTCCCACCAAATGTAATTTCACTTGAAATTATAAAATGACTAAGTGCAATCACTCCGAACGCATAAGATGTGGGCAAATTGTTTAAATCAGTCCTAAACATATTGTACGGATGCCAATGCAGTCCTAAATTTTTCAATTTTAACCTTTGTGCGAAATCACAATATTGTCCTTTTGGCCAATTTCTGCCAGAAATCTTTGACGTGGTAGTGTGCCATGTAGGATGGTTGGCAATAACTGGATCGTCACATCAGTGATTTCTAGCAAAAATTGATCGGAAGAACTTTATTGGAATTTCACGCAAAGGTTTAGGACTAAAATGACAAAATTGAAAAGTTTAAGATTAAATTAATATCCGCAAAAATTGACTGGAAGAACTATATTAGAATTTCACGCAAAGGTTTAGGACTAAAATGACAAAATTGAAAAGTTTATGACTAAATTGATATCGTATCATCGATTTAGGACTGATTGAGAAAATTTCCCCTCAAGACGTTCACCCACCTGCCAACATTGAATTAATTGCGTAAGCCTTTTGAATGATGTTGAACTGGATTATACTGCCAACCTGTTGCTTTGGATGAAGATAGGCAGCCCAATAATAAAAAGATGAGTTCAACAAATTGATATGCATTAAGATTGAAAGAAAATGAACTACATAAAGCTTAAACTTATGAAAAAAATATCGCATGTGTTCTCTTGAGGGAAAATTATCAAAATAGTCTTAAACCTATTATAATTGTACTAATTTAGTCCTAAATATTTTTTTTTGTTAATTCAGTTCTAAACATTTTGCATTAGTGCCAATTCAGTCCATCCGGCGAATTTTGTCCTGCCGGTCCTGACGTGGACGTCGTTCCGGCACCAGCCATCCAGTCAACGCTGAAGTGGCAAAAAAAAAATTTCGAATTTTTTATTAAATTTTTTTCTTTTTTTTTTCTCCTTCATCTTCTTCAACCTCTAGCCAATCGCCGGACTGGCGATCGGCCAGAGGCTGGGGCCAACGAGGACGAGCCTCGCCAAACCTGGCGACGAAGGGTTCCGGCAAACTGAGCTCCGATCTACCGCGGGCATGGCTCTCAAGTTCGCACCTTTGGCCCTCCGATCGATGTTCTAAAGCTTGGGTTTTCCCATTCGTATCCGAGGGTTTTGGGGTCCCGTTCTTTGAGTACGATGGTCGGGCGCACGCTTGTCTGGGTTTCGATCGGCCCGACGTTGTTGAAGCCGAATGCCCTCCCCTCTCGCAGCTCACCAAATTGCTTGCCCTGCCTCCCCATCAAACCCCAGAAGCGCCGATGCCGAGTCCTGGCGGCAGCGTCCGGCAATGCGGGGCACGCGCAGCAGCCCCCGTCTTCGCTCGAGTAGCAGAGGAGTAGCCCGATCGCGGTCGTGCTGGACGTCCTTTGCACCATCTGGCAGCAGACGTTGCGCCCGCTGAGCGATTACGGGTTCTGCCGGAGAAGTGTCTGAGAAGGCGGAGTCGGGTCGTTCCTGGTGTCGGGCCCCGTACTCTTGGCGCTGAGCTTGGCTTGGTTGAGGGCGACCAATGAGGACAAGAACTTGCCAGATCTGTCGCGGCTTGTCCTCGCCAGCCGCTCGCATGGTCGGCCTCACCCAGTTGCAACGTTGCTGGGCGAAAACGACTTCGCTGGTGGCCTCGCCCAGCAACGTTGCTAGCGAGGGCTCATCCTCACCGTCACTTGCTAGGCGAGGTCGGCCTCGCTCGAAGCGACCGGCGAGGACAAGACCTCGCCAGATCTAGCGAGGCTCGTCCTCGCCGGCCGCTGGCGAGGTCGGCCTCGCTAGAAGCCGTCAGGGCCACCCTCACCAGCCCCAGCCTCTGGCCGGTCACCGATCCGGCGACCGACTAGAGGTTGAAGAAGAAGAAGGAGAAAAAAAAAGGAAAAAATTAAAAATTAATTAAAAAAAAAACTTTTTGCCACGTCAGTATTGGCCGGACGGACGGCACCGGACAGCGTCCACGTTAGCACCAGCCTGCCAAAATTAGCCGGATGGACTGAATTGGCATAAATACAAAAGGTTTAGAACTGAATTAGCAAAAAAAATAGTTCATGACTGAATTAGCATAATTGCAATAGGTTTATGATTGTTTTGGTAATTTTTCAGTTCACTTGACTATTCCTTAACATTCTTTTCATATGATGACGAGGAAGCCTGCTTTAGGTAAATAAGCCCAGACCCGTAAATCATTCCTCTATATCTATTGCACAATAATAGAGTTCATTAAGAGAAGTTTACAACCAGAAGGAAGCTTAACTTCACTCCGTGCAGACTCTATGTAAGGTTTACGTGATTTAAGGAGTGAGAAGTCCCGGTGCACAATCCGGTCTCACTCCGGGTGCACAATCCCGAACATTTAGCGATGGTTCGTCTATGTGGATGATGCAAGTTGTATCAACTGTGCACATGGATATTGTGTGCGCAAACGCTCCAGTTAGGGATGCATCAGCTGTACTACCCGATATGAATAAGTGAGATGGAGTAGCACAAGAAATTGAACCGGTGAAAAACAAGACAAAATGCTTTACCTCTTGGTTCCATAACATGCGGTGTAGTCGATCGATATGTGCCAATTCGAGAGCTCGTATAGATGAGAGCGGGAGGTTATTGACAAGCATAAAAGCAAAGAGAAGAAGAGTGAAGAAGATCTATTGACTTCATGGCATTTAATCACCAACTAGAGAACCATGCAGTACATGTTCATTGCTTGCGGAGCACAAGATGTACTACATAGTACAGTGTACTTTCCCTCAACATCACTATGAGCCCTCAAGATCTTTTAGTTTAGATTATTTATCATAATTAGCAATTTCTAGGGTTGACTTTAAGAATTATCCTCCGATGGTCGTTTATATTTTAACAATTTCTTTTTTATATATATTCTGTACACGAAACTATTTTGCCATGGAAACAAGACATTACCGAGAAGAGATATGGAACTATCTATTTTATGTGCAGAATTATATTGTTCCGTGACAAAAAACAAATTAATTTTTTATCCATCCTAGTAAATTTCAGTAAGTGCTAATAAATATCAAAGAATTATTGGTTTAAAAAATGATATGTGACGTTTTTTTTATACTTTTTTTCCAAATAACTTATTGGGAATTTACCCTCTCTTATTGAAATTACCATCTACTTTTGTAGTTTGCAAATTACCAATTTTTGTACCAACTTATCAAATTTTATTTGGATAACTTTTTAAACATATTAATCGCTAATATTAAAGTACCAACCTAAAATAGGATAAACTACCAACTACTTTTAAGTTATTAGGTCTCGTTTGAATTACTTACCGATGTTTGATTGTTCTTTATAATATATGCACTTTTCTATTGAGTTATCAAATTTTATTTGTCTTGGTTGGCAATCCCTTAAATTTAAAGTCTAGCTTGATGACGTAGGTTGTCGCCGAGACCTCTGCAACCTTAGATCTAGGTCGATCTAAGGTTTACCACCTCATACAGTCTCAATCCGAGTGATCACAATGGTATGCGCTTGGATCTTGAAGTAGCAAGAGGTTGCGGTTGAGGGCAAAGGTGTACACAGAGAGAGAGAGAGAGAGAGAGAGAGAGAGAGAGAGAGAGAGAGAGAGAGAGAGAGAGAGAGAGAGAGAGAATTTGAGGGCGTAGATGCGAGCTAGGGCGGAGGCAAGTGATGACTGGCTGTTGACACCTAAATTTTGACTACCAATTTAATGATAAATTGCATAGAAAATTAGGGTTAAACTTTAGAACCTATACAAAAATTGTTCTCATTTAATTGCATAGCATATAAATATTATGAGCATTTGCATTAATAGTAATAGGATTTATTAAATTTTAGTTTTTTAAAAAATAGAAGAAAAGAAGAAGAAAAAGAAAAGAAAAAAGAAAAGCGAAACCGGGCCGGCCCAACCTCCTTCCTTCTTTTTCCTTCTTCTTCCCACCTGGGCTGGCCCAGCCCATTTCTTTTATCTTTTTCCTCTGGCCCGGTCCCTTCCCCCTTACTCCTTCCTCTCGCTCCTCGCATGCGGTCTGCAATTCAAGGACGTACAGAGGCATAGCGGGGCAGAGCTTCAGCGCCAACCAAGGCTAGCGGTTGGGGGGCCAGACCGGCAAGGTAGCTGGCAGTGGCAGGGGCCATGCGCGCCTGCCAGCGGGCTTAAAAGGGTCGGAGAGAGAGCGTTCAGGCGGGAACTAAGAGAGACCGTGAGCGAGAGAAAGAGTCCGAGAGCGAGAGGGTAAGGCCGAGAGTGAGCGAGTGTCTTCTGGTAACAGCCGGGCGTAGGTCTTGGCTGGCGATCTTGATAGTTTACTTTTCCCTGCGCCAAAGCCACAGTAGATCTCAGCTCCTTTCTTTCTTGATTTTTTCGGTTTTGAGTCGATTTCCCGAGGATTCCGGCCTGGAGGCGTGTGAGGTGACCAAACATAGTCCGATCTATTGAACTCGACCCCATTCGCCACCTCCGAGCCAGGTAGAGACCTCACCGCCGACCCCCCCCCCCCCCGTTTTGTTTTATTTTTGCTCTATTTTTCTTGTCGCGGCCAATAGAGGCCGACACTCACTTGCACTCATTTTCGAGCATCGGCGAGCCTTCCCTGGTTGTCGTGGTGTGCTACCTTTGGTGTTGTGTTGATTGCGGTTGTGTGTTTGAGCCTCAATCGGCTTGTTTTTTCTCTCCCAGTCGGCACCAGCCAAGTCCTCGGGTCGTGGTCCATTAAGGTTGGATATGGGATCCTAGTGCCCGTGCTTAGTTCCCCGACTGCCAATGTGCAAGTTACTAGTGCGCGAATAATGTATGTATATTTAGGAAAATCAAATCAGATTTTCCTTTTCAAATGACGGAAATTTTTTTTCAGTTCCTCTTCAAGTTTCAGCCAAACACCTAAAAGTATCGCCATTTTCCCGAAAAATGACTTTCCAAAAAACAATTTCCAAAAATACTATGTTTTTTGCAAAATAAACGGAGCCTAAAGGTCCATAAAGTTTCTCTAACCAATTTATAAAAGAAGGGTCGGAAATCTGGATAACCATCTTAGGTTGTAAATATCTAAAATAAACTATAGTTCTAATTAATTACAAGAGATGATTTTGAATAATTAATTATTGTGATTGTCACAACCTCCCTGCTAATCGACCCCGGGGTTTGAGGCTAATGAATTGCTAAGTCTAAACCTAGTACTTAACTTGGGCTCTCCAAAGTCCTTACAAACTCGCGACCTAAGGTTTAAGTTATTAACATGCCAATCAATTTTATCTAGGAGTCACCACTAATCAGTTTAAGGAGGGTCGATTAGATATCCAAATAAGGCAACGGGAGAACTGTTTTACTCATACGAACCAAAGATTCAATAAGTTCGGAGACTTGATTACTAGTGTCATTTCGATACCTAACCTTGTTCAATTCAATAAAATGTTTGTTAAGCAGTCTGGATTGATCTTAAACCTATCCACTAACATGTGAGGTGATCATGAGGGTGAGCAATCGTTAAAATAACAATTAGCAACCGAGGAAGCATTAAATAAGTTGCAAGGAAAAGCAAGAATTCAACACATTCCCAACTAGGCTAGCGCCAAAAAGAAGTGCATAAGGAATGGCCCAACATACCTCTAATCGTCTACATGCAAGATCAAATTGAACACGCAATTCAAAACGTGCGATCCAAACAACACGTGACCAAACATGGCACAACTCACATTAGAAGGTAAGAAAAGGCAATTCCCTAGTCCAAACCATTTTTTTTAATTTTCAGAAAATTAAAAAAAATTCGTAACTTTTAATAATTTTTTTCTTAAAAAAATATTTTTAATATTATATAATGAACGGATCGGGGCGGATCTCTAGATCCGGCTTGGCAATGCGATCGAATCTTGGGCTCATCCAAAATTTGCTGATGGGTAGCGATGGCCTGGAAGATTGCAGATTTGGGTCGCACTAGATTTGTCGAAACAAGACAATCGAGTCGTATACTCACAAGAGACCCACAATGCGTGTGGACAAAAATGGCATGCTTTCGGAGCACACGATAATTTCCTCCGACGTCTTCTCAAGTACGCCAATGTTTATGGCACCGGAAGTGGCTCATAACGATGAGCAGAGTTTCTTGTCGGATGGGTGGAGCGTTGGTCGTATGGTCATCGAGATGGCCACTGGGAAGGCCAAGCGAGCTCAGACAGGACAAGAAGCTGACTCTGTTCTTTACCTGTGGCCGATAAGGCCATGGTGAGGCTGGCCTCACCCAAGGCCGCAGAAGCAAGCTCCAAACGTGAGAGACCTCGAAGCTCGAGTGTCCACGCCTGAGAGCTTAGAGATTGAGCTCGAGTGACCATAGTGACCACGAGCTCGAAGCTCAAGCTTCCATGGCAAATGCAAGCTCAAAGCTTGAGCATCCATAGCCGCAAGCGACAGCTAGCCTCAATGGTCTTGCCTGGATCTGAGTGAGGGTTTTGCAGCCTTCGATGGTAGTCGGTGACCCTCGCCTAGTTTCCAGCGACCCACAATAAAAACAAATAAAGAAGGAAAGAGAAGAAAGAAAAAAGCAAAAAGAAAAAGATAAATAAATAAATAATTCGAAATTTTGTTAAAATATTATTAAAAATTATCCACGTTAATGCCAGCCGTCTTATGAGGAACAGCCAGCGCCCACATCAGCAAAATCCTGCAAAATCTAGCTAGATGAACTCAATTGGCAAAACATGAAAAGATTTAAGACTCAGTTGACAAAAGTGCAACAGGTTTAACACTTTTTGGATGATTTTCTCATTTTTTAGGTGATGTATCTTCTCCTAAAATGAGTTGATTCATATTTGTATCCACATTTCTTCCAACTAATACATACAGGCAACTTATTGTGCCAAACCACATATATTTAATAGGAGAAAATTACACTTGAAGTGCTATAATTTTGTACGGTGCTCACTTTAATGTCAAAACTTTTCACCAAATCACTTCAACACCATATTAAAGAAAAATCGATCACTTAGGTGCAACAGGCAACAAAATCCAACAAAAAATATTATGGACCTTTTTAACTAAATATTAAATTTTATGTGGTTTTTTTAATTAAATTTTGAATATTATGTGGCTTTTTTATTAAAAGAAAGAAAGAAAGTCCATGTATGCTGAGAATGAAAAACGATGCCACACAGTAGAGGAATTTAATCTCTCTCTTTCTCAACATCGTTCTCTTGACTGCTCTCTCTTGTTACCTATTTTGACTCGCTTGGTCCGCAAGCAAGCGCTAACTCAAAGACTCGCTCGGTCACCAAGACGCTGAAGCAGCAACCAAAAGCGGTAGGCTCGCCATTGACGGACTATCACTTCACATTGAAGATTAGGAACGGAAGTTTCGAGCTTGAGCTCATAGCGTTGGGGAAACACCATAATTTGGATATGAGTAAGGCATGGGGAGGCTCTTCAAAGTGAAGCGAGAAAGATGAGAAGAAAGAGGTGAAAATTTTGCACAACATAAAATATTTTGCCCTAATTCTCGTTGAATACCTCTGTTGCTCGACTTGAAAATTTTACGTCAACAATATATTCACCTTCGTCTCGGCTTTGTTGAAATGAATTTGAGCCACTTGTCCTACTCTTACTCTCCATTGCAAGATTCAATTTTAATTTTTCCCTAAATTGCCTTGGTCCGAATTAGGGTTTGAAGAATTGGGAAATGGCTTGATTTGTTCAAGTTATGGTTTAAATTTGGGGCAAACAAGTTGAGCAATGTCGCTGAGGGCTATTAATGCTGACTTGGAGCGCCGGCAAGCCACGTCAATTGGAAAAAAATGGTAACATCGGATTTTGAGGGTCCCAAATCGGCGATGGCACTTGAGTGATCTATTTCTGTTACAAAAGTAATATTGAAGTGATCTGGTAAAAAGTTTCGATACTAAAAAAGTGAGCACTTTACGAAAATTATGACACTTTTAATGTCCCTTTTCACTATTTCATAGGCACAAAAGCAAACTCCTAATGTTTAATTGCACGAGTAAGAAAGCACCATGGATATTTTGACAAAATGCAGTAATTAATTCACAAAATAGATAATCCCCACCAGCTAAAATTAACTGTCATCCGTGGTCGGTAAAACGAGGTAATTTAATGGAGAATTGGTCCAGATATTAATTGGTTTCGCTTGTATTCACTCTTTCCATGTCAACACCGCAAGTTGGCATGCAATTTTTTTAATTACTTATGTTCTTTTGCATGTTAATTGATTTAATTATGCTGATTTATGTTTGACGAACTTATTAACAACGGATAGTAAATGATCCTTTTAGTCGACATCGTTGAGAATTTTGCCGGGAAAAGTGCTGAATAAGTCCTAAACTTTTTGAGAAAGTGCCAATTTAGTCCTAAACCTATTTTTAGTGTCAATTTAGTCCTAAACCTTTTGATATAGTGCCAATTCAGTCCTTTTGGCCGGATTTTGCTGACGTGGACGTCGGCCGGCCGGCGACCGGTCACCGGAGCTGACATGGACAAAATTTAATAATATTTTAATATTTTTTTGAATTTTTTTTCTTTTTTTCTTTTTTTTTTTCTTTTTTTTTCTTCTCTCTCTTCCTCCAGCCGGTCGCGCGGAGCGGCGACCGGCCGAAGGCCAGAGGCCGGCGAGATCGACCTCGCCGGCTACTGGCGAGGCTCGCCCTCGCCCGAGGCCCGACCTCGCCGGATCCGGCGAGGTCGAGCCTCGCCGGCCATGGCGAGGCTCGCCGGCCCTCGCCATGGCCGGGCGAGGGTCGACCTCGCCGGATCCGGCGAGGTCGGGCCTCGCCCGGCCGCGGCGAGGCTCGCCCGACCCTCGCCGGAGGTCACGAGGTCCGCGCGAGGCGCGGCGAGCCTCACCGCGTGGCGGGCGAGGCCCGACCTCGCCGGATCAAGCGAGGTCGACCCTCGCCCGGCCATGGCGAGGGCTGGGCCAGCCTCGCCAGCCCAGCGCGAGGCTCGCCCTCGCCGGCAACGGCGAAGGCTAGCCTCGCCATGACTGGGCGAGGCCCGACCTCGCCAGATCTGGCGAGGTTAGGCCTCGCCCAGCCATGGCGAGGTCGAGCCTCGCCCAGCCATGGCAAGGCTCGCCTTCGCCATCGGCGGCAAGGGCGAGCCTCGCCAGTAGCCGGCGTGGCTCGCCCGAGGTCGACCTCGCCGGCCTCTGGCCTCCGGCTGGTCGCCGCTCCGCTGACCGGCTGGAGGAAGAGGGAGAAAGAAAAAAAAAAGAAGAAAAAAAGAAAAAAAATTCAAAAAATATTAAAATTTTATTAAATTGTATCCACGTCAGCTCCGGTGACCGGTCGCCGGCCGGCCGACGTCCACGTCAGCAAAATCCGGCCAAAAATACTGAATTGGCACTATATCAAAAGGTTTATGACTAAATTAGCACCAAAAATAGGTTTAGGACTAAATTGGCACTTTCTCAAAAGGTTTAGGACTTATTCAGCACTTTTCCCAAATTTTGCCCCTATCGATTAAATTTGGAGTCATCGTCGGCAATGTACAAATACGGTTCGAATCATTTATAGAACAAAAATACATTATTCTGAATCAAACAAAAACTTCTTACAAGCCGAACATATGTTACAATAGAAACTTATTATAATGATGCAAACGTGCAAACTTCGGTACAAAATACAGATGATTTATTCCCATTGGCATGTCAATAGCCTTTTGCGCTAGCAATGAACTCAAAGCAAACAACATCCACATTATGACACGGTACAAGGAGGCATGTCTCGGGGCGGCGGAAGCACCTTCTGATGTTTTAACTTCCCGTCTCCAACGACGAGGACTGTGTCCATTCCCCAACTTGCATGGCGTTCTAAGTGACAGTGCATGAACCACACTCCTACAAGCAACCATACAAGAATAATCTGTCAATTATGCATTCATATGCATCTAAATTCGTGCAAAACTAATGCCAAAATGGTAGATACATGATAATAAATGCTATTCAATTAAAACGAAAACTATATGTTTCTATGCGTTTCTATCGATGGAATCGTAGTACCTGGGTTATCGGCTTTGAATCTGATCACTGTCCACCCATTTTTGGGGAGTCCGACGGTGTTAATATAGGGTGGATCCACCGTGTTATAATCCGATACATAGGAGTCGCTGAAATTTCCATCGCCCATTCCGACGACATAAAAGCTATAGCCGTGTAAATGCATGGGGTGATTTTCTGCTGCTCCTAAATTGGTCCCTTGAAATCTTATTTCGACCTCCTCATTATAGTTAATCATCAACACTTCGGTACTCACATTGGCTGCTTCCCCTATGGCCGACACATTCCCGGTGTAGTCGAACACGAAAGGTGGTTCATCCGGAAAAGTTTTGTTGTAGACTCCTTTTAGATTGCTGCACACACAACACAAACATAATGTTATAGAGACATTTAGATGTTGAATTATGCCTTCGCTTTAAGACAATGAAGGTTTTAACCAGTTAAATTCGTTTGATTTGGAGAATATTTCAGCCTAATCAACTCTATCGGTTTGAGAAAATTATTCAATCCTAACAAATAGGATCAATATTGGTAGGTCTAGCAATTTACGTACTTGTAGTATGCTTGGAGAATGCTAATTGACGGAGCCCAAAAACTTATGTTGTTCAAGCTTGCCGAATGCATACCGCCATCTGGACCACTACAATTTTTATTAGCAGGACACGGCTGGCTATTCACGGATACTGTGATCGTAATGTTCCTAGTGATGTTGGTCGGAACCATGGACGGATGTTCTTCACTATTCAAACTCCTCAACTGAATAGTGAAGTTTCCAGCATCACTCTTGTTGGTAAAACCTGGAAGCTCGGGTAACACGGGAGTCTCTGAGTGATTATAAGTGCCATTGTATTGGAATATCCCCATTGTGACGTTTTCGTTGGACGGGGCAGTAGTGTCCACAAACGGACTAAAAACCATGTAGTAGCGACCAGGGGTTTGGTTCGCGGTGACCAAAACGTCCATTGTTTGACCGGGAGTTATCATGAGGTAATCAGTATTAAGCGGCTTCAAATATGCTCCGTCCATTCCGACCACAGTGATATTGTGCTCGGCTATGCCGAAGAACATCTCTTCGTTCAACCCAGAATGGATGATCCGAAGGAGATACGTTTTTCCTTGCACAACCGTTATGTTGTACGCCGAACCTGCGAAAGAAAAAAAAAACACCATATCAAATAGTATTACCGGAGATCCGGAAATTACGCATACTATATATCAATCATCATTAATTAATTTTAAGGCATCATAATTTCGCAAAGATCTCATTTCATTAATTATAGATCAGTAAGGTTTTCTTTCATTAGCAAAGAATAAGACCTTTTCTTTTTACTATAACAGTATACAACACACTGATGTATATACAAGAATTAGTACCGTTAGAGCATGGATAACTGTCTCCTGGTTGACCATTAATGGTATAGGCCACGGACAAGTCTGGGTCGCCTCCAGATTCAAGAGCCTCGGTGATTATGTCCATCACATCTCTAGCATACCATTCAGCTGCATGGCAAATCATAATTTTGTTGAGAAAAATAATGCAAACTATTAATAAATGTGCTTGTGTTTAATTGAGTGAAAAACTTATTTATGTTGTTTAAGTTGGTTGAAAGTAGCATACAAATCACAATTGTGTGTTGTTCATCAAACTCGTAAGGGTAGTTGGTGTCGTTGACAGGCAAGATGATTATAGGACCATGTAGGGTGGCACGTGACCAGTCGCTGTGCGCGTGCCACCACAACGTGCCTTCTTCATCAGTGAGTATGATTTTTTGAAGGAAGCTTGAGTTCGTAGGGATTGGGCACTGCGTAACATACTCCGGGCCATCAGACCAAGGATACCGGATTTGTCTCACTCCATGCCTGCATGTGTGTATATTATTAGAGAGAGAGAGAGAGAGAGAGAGAGAGAGAGAGAGAGAGAGAGAGAGAGAGAGAGAGAGAGGGTTGTATTATTACCAGTGAATAGTGATTCCATAAGGTCCTATGTTGGTGACATTAACGTAGATGATGTCGCCCTTGTGAGCACGAATCTCCGGCCCAGGAAACAGATCGTTCACGGTCAATATGGTCCGGTTTGTCTCACACAACATATCAATAGGTGTTTCCTTTACCTGCAACAAAAATCATCCTATGAATCTTGGACCATTATATCCATGAAATAATTTATCTTATTAAATTGATGCAAGGCCTGCAGCTGAACTTTTTCTGGATAAAGACTCCAAATGGGGTTGGAAACCACATCCCAAAAGAATAAAATATATAACATATACAACTGTAGATATTGCCGGATTACTACTAAACTCTCAAGAAGTCGAAATCTTCAGAAAAATTGCATGTAGTTTGGTATTTGAATGCTATAATGCTCGGTCTCGAGCATACTCCCCGATTTAGCTAGCTGAAGATTTAGATGCGAAGATCATTGTCGAAATGACGAGATTCGTGGTCAACTTTAATGCCTCTGAAAGAGTCTAAAACTGGTAACAATCAAACGCTCAAGTAGTCACTAAATGTTCAACAAGGGGATGTTCCTACTCACCACGAAATCATAGTGGAGGACTTCGCCTTGAGCCATGCAGAAGAGCAGGGTCATAGTGACCGCAAACCCTAGAAATGTTCCCATCGGCTCTCCTCTCTCTCTCAACAAGACAAATTGAACTTGTACAAATCCCTTGATCCAGAACAACAAAGGATACTTGTGTTGTGCTCAGTCTCTTTCTTCTTGTGACCTTCACCTTCCATCGAAGGGGGCTACTTATAGGAAACTTCTTTTGATGCTTGGTGATCTCTGTCTAGACGCTTTCTGTCTGCCCCCACGTGAAGAAAAAGTCGTCATTTTGCCTGCAAAACAACGTGTCCTATGACATTGAGCATTCGTCTTTCGTTGGCTCGAGCACGTTTTTGCCGTGTTTCCGCGAAGAAGAAGATTGGTTGAAGAGCGCGGCAGAAGAACGAGCTGATAAACTTCTCTTTATTTAGTCGTACCGGCAAGAAAGAGAGAATTTAAATGAAGTTTCCCGATCAAAACCCATGTTTTTGTTCCTGGACACTAGACGAGCAGTCCCATGTTTCAGTTGTGAATAATAGAGCCACTAGAAGTCGAGAGATATGCAGCAGAGAACATTGTGTCTTTCAAAAAAGGGAAAAAATCACCAAATTTTTCGAATTACGTTTATTGTGACAAATTTACCTTAAATTATTTTTTGTGATACTAAAAATCTCAAATTATGTACACTGTGACACATCTACAATCCGTTACAATTCCGTCCAAAATCACCGTTAAAAAGTTGACCTAAATTTCATGTGGCACTTTTAGAGATACATGACTATGATGGGGCATCACGTGCGCGTCGCATTGGAAAAAGAAAAAAAAATCACTGTTCATCGTCTTCTCCAAAGCTTCGTGCGTACTTTTCATGGCGTTCTTCATCTTCAATCGGTTGGCCAAACTCCTCCGACGCTCTTGCTTCGTTGGCCACTGCTACCTCTCCGGCCGCTCTCGTCGGCGCTTGCCCGACCATCCACCAGCTTTGAAGATCGAGGTTCAAGCCAAGCTTCGAGCTCGAGGGGCCATGGCGGCCGCGAGCTTCGAAGCTCGACCTTCAAGCCAAGCTTCGAGCTCGAGCGGCCATGGCGGCTGCGAGCTTCGAACTCGACCTTCAAGCCAAGCTTTGAAGCTTGGCCTTGGAAAAAGGACAAAAAAAGAAAACTGTTCATCGTCTTCCCCGCGAGGAAGAACGATACAAAAACGAAGTTTCAAGAAGGTCGAGCTTGATAGACCGCCATGGCCTCTCCAGCTCGAAGCTTGGCTTGTCTGACCTCAACCTTCGAGGCTCGCGAGTGGTAGCCGCTATGGCCAAGCTTCGAAGCTCATGGCCGACAGGAACGCTCTAGCTCGAAGCTTGGCTCGAGGGTCTGACCTCGACGTTCGAAGCTCGTGGGTAGTCGCGAGCCGCCAAGGACAAGCTGCGAAGAAACTTGAAGGTCGAGCTTCAAAGCTCATGGGTGGTCGCAAGCCACCATGGCCAAGCTTCGAAGCTCGCGGGCCCATGACCGCTCTAGCTCGAAGCTTGACTTGAGGTCTGACCTCAACCTTCGAAGCTCCCGGGTGGTCGCAAGCGACCAAGGCCAAGCTTTGAAGCTTGGCTTGAAGGTCGAGCTTCGAAGCTCGCGGCCGCCATGACTGCTCGAGCTTGAAGATGACGGCCATGAGCTTCGAAGCTTGGCATGAACCTCGATCTTCGAAGTTGGTGGATGGTCGGGCAACCGCCGACGAGAGCCGCCGGAGGTCTAGGTAGCAGTGGCCAGCGAAACAAGAGCGTCGGAGGAGTTTGGCCAACCGATTGAAGACGAAGAACGTCATGAACAGTGCTCGCGAAGCTGTGAAGAAGACGATGAACAGTGAATTTTTTTTATTTTTTTTCTTATTTCAATGTGGCCCTCGCGTGGCACCACATGTCTCTTAAAGTGTCACGTGGAATTCACGTTAGCTTTTTAACGGTGATTTTCGACGGAAGTGTAATAGAGGATAGATATGTCACGATGTATCATAATGTGCATAATTTAAAGTTTTTGATGTCACAAAAAAAAATTTAGAGTAAATGTATCACAATAGATATATTTTGAGATTTTTTGTGGTTTTTTTCCTTCAAAAACATGGAAAGCATAAGAGAAAACTGTTCTTTCTAATGGTTTATCAACCGAAAAGATAAAAAGATTTAACTCCTACAGTTAGTCCAGTGCATGTTTTAGGTGCTCTAGTCAAAAAGGCAAGTTTTTGCCCTAAGTTGAATGAAGAATCACCGGAATTCATGCGAACTATCTTTGTTGGCTCCAGCTGTAATGCACTCCAGACACTTCAAATGATGTTTTCTCGTGTTTTAAGAATATTTCCAGAGCGCCTATTCAATCAGCTTCCGCAATCAAAAAACAGAACTCTGCAGAGTTTCAACGTGTGACTTTCTTGGGGCATTTGCAAACAAAAGTGTTGCAAATCCAATCATTCCTTGAAATGGCTGCCTGTCTTTTGTGAAATCTTACGATACCTCTATCTTATAAAGCCTGTAAATACCTTCTTCTTTTTTCCAAAGAATGTGTAAATTATTGAAGTAAAGCATTTTCTGGAGTTTCATGGAGGAAATTAATTTCTCCAAAAGACGAGGATGATGCAAATTGCAAACTATAGAGGAACGTAAAAGCAAATTTGGGTGTGGTTTATGCTATTTTTGCAATTTGAAAATAATGGCTTATGGTAATGGCTACTTTTACCAAATTTCTACGAGGTCTATATTGTAGGTTTTTACCTAGACCAAGCTGTCTCAATTCCTTCATGAAACAGACGCGCCTACGAAATCTCTTTTCCGATTTTATTCTCGACATGTAATCATTTAGACCCTGCGGCAAGGGATGATTCACTCGCAGCAGTTTTCAACAAAAAACACGGCCTGAAAAATTAAGGGTTTTGTTGTTCATGATTGCTTTGTACATGTGAAACACCGTTTTTCGAGTGATATAAGTTGATGTCATAAACATCGTCGCGCAACATTAGTATCCGAAAAATCCTTAAACGCCATCGCGAGATTCATTCCTTTTTTTTATATGAAGACCCTTCACTTTGATACTTGGTGATTGCATCGTATAATCTCCCAATAGAATCATCAATTAATACCTAACGTGTGCTTTTGTACATATGATAAAACGCTAGGGTACAAACTTTTCCGATACGTGAATTTTTGGTATAATTTTTTATGTATAACAATTCTAAGAGTTAATACCACGAAAAATCTCAAACCGGTACACTTGTAATAATTTTACTCCGAATTAACTTTTTGACCACCAAAAACCCTAAACTGGTATACCTGTGATAAATTTACCTTGAATTATTTTTTTGACCACTAAAAACCCCACACTGGTATACTTATGATAATTTTACCCTGAACTAACTTTTTGACTACCAAAAACCCTACACTGGTACACCTGTGGCAATTTTCTCCCAAACTAATTTTTTGACCACTAAAAATTTCAAACCGGTACATTTGTGACAAATTCACCCTCTGTTAGTGTCCGTTAAATTGAATTAATATCATGAAAAATCACAAATTGGTAAACTTGTGACAAACAGAGGGGTAAAACCCCAAATTGATATACCTGTCAACTACCATGTGTTATCAAACTTAGCAATTTGACAGTAAAATTTAACGGAAACTAACGGAAGGAAAATTTTCTCACAGGTGTACCAGTTTAGGGTTTTTGGTGATCAAAAAATTAGTTTGGAATAAAATTATCACAAATGTATCAGTTTAAAATTTCTAACGGTATAAAATTAATTCAAGATAAAATTGTCATCGATATATCAATTTAAAATTTTTTGTGAAATTTTTTGTAATATTAACACCATTTCTAAAAAGTCCTGAGAAAAGTAAAACGAGGAACTCGAGCCACGAAGGGACAAATACCGACTGATTCTGAAAATTGCTCAAAGTAGCATGAGTTAACTTTATACGGCCGATTGACCAATAAAGATGAAAGGAAACGAAGCTTGTGTGATCCGACATGATTATTACTTCAACAGTGAACCTCGAGATGCCACATCCGAAAACCTTAAAATCATTTCTATATATATTTTATTACCACCGCTTTTTACATTCAAAAAGCACGAACGTGGGAATAGCTAATTAGAGATTCATAAAACACTATGCACGTTTCATCAATCAATTAATTCGAAATCTGTGGCTTGTGCAGGAGCCTTAATCCAAAGTACTTTACACGTAATCAATGAGATTCGAATTTGTAACCTCTAATTTCTAACTAGAAATCTCCTTGCCTCCAATCAATCGAAAATTCTCTAATTTTTTCTTTTTTTCTTTTTGCTTAATCTAAATCTTGTAATGAACATATTTGACTTTTTCTTATCCCGAAATATCGAAAACTCTCACGATATACAAATTTGACACGTAAATTTACATATAACTTTTTCATGATTGTCTAAAATTTAATTAGAATTTGACACATGAACAAATAATTATTTTTCTTTAGAGGATGTCAATTCAAGAAATCCAAAAGCCAATGGTACCTAGAGATCGGTCATCACGGCCTCTACGCCCCACCAATAGAAACATATATACACTGCTGATTGCCCAACATCAACAATTCATCCAAATAAATCGTTACATACTAAATATTGTGTATTTTCCAGTTTTCTTCCGAGCCGATCAACCTTGGCACATAAATATCAGTATGGGAGGACGGGAATGTCTTATGTTGCATCTAAGACTATCTCCCTCGTCAAAGTTTTGCTTCAACCAGTGAATCGACAAAAGAAAGTAAATATTGAGTTGCACGTGTGAGTTGTGTTAAAGTCCCACATCGGAGAATTAGTGTGGCATGGAGTAGATAATATTATCATAGTTAACTCACAACTCATTAACTTAAGTTTCTGAGTAAATGTGAGTCCAACTAGATATGTTGACGTGTTAGAATTTGGACTCCTCCTTGACAATCTCCCAAGGTGAAGATGTCAGGTCTTTCTGGTAACCGACTCAGTTTTCGAGCGGTGGGCTTTGTGGTATAGCAATGCAAACCCAACGACAGACTTCATGGTTAAATCTGGAGAAAGACTATGAATGAAGTTGGGCGTTGATAGATAATCAAGTTGAGATGTCTTGATGTATAAGAAATTAAGAGGAAGCAATCCTAACACTAAGCTCACACGTGAAGAGTAAATTATTGAATTGCACGGGTGAGTTGGATTAAAGTTCCACATCGGAGAATTGGTATAGTATGAAACAGTTAATATCATCATAATTGACACATAACTTATTAGTTTAAGCTTTTGAGTGAATATGGATTTAACAATAGAAAGAAGGGAAAAAACCACCAAAAACCCCAAACTTTGCCATCCGTGACACATTTACCCCGAACTTTTTTTTGTGACACCAAAAACCCCGAACTTTGCTTTTTGTGACACATTTACCCCAATGTATTTAGTCCATGGGCATTTTTGTCTTTTTGCTTTTTCTTTTTTTCCTTTCCGACGAGGGGCTCGCCGGATCCGGGCGCCCTCGCCGGCGTCGGCGAGGGGGCCCTCGCCGGGCGAGCGAGGGCGGCCCTCGCCGGCGTCAGCGAGGCGCGGTCGACCCGGGGCGGCCCTCGCCGGCGTCGGGCGAGGTTCGCCCTCGCTTGGGCGAGCGAGGGCGGCCCTCGCCCGAGCCGGCGAGGGCGACCCTCGCCGGCGTCGAGCGAGGGTCGCCCTCGCCCGGGCGAGCGAGGGCCGCCCGACGCCGGCGAGGGCGGCCCTCGCCGGATCGGGCGAGGGTGATCCTCGCCGGCGTCGGCGAGGGTCGCCCTCGCCCGATCGGGCGAGGGCCGCCCTCGCCGGATCCGGGCGAGGCCGCGGACGGCTCGCCGCCTCGCCGGAGCGGGCGGGCCGTCGCTCGACGCCGGCGAGGGTCGACCTCGCCGGATCGGGCGAGGGCCGCCCTTGCTCGCCCAGGCGAGGGCGGACCTCGCTCGCCCAGGCAAGGGCGAACCTCGCCCGACGCCGGCGAGGCCCCCCTAGCCGGAAAGGCAAAAAAAAGAAAAAAAAAAGAAAAAGCAAAAAAGACGAAAATGCCCATGGACTAAATACGTTGGGGTAAATGTGTCACAAAAAGCAAAGTTCGGGGTTTTTGGTGTCACAAAAAAATTTTTGGGGTAAATGTGTCACGGATGACAAAATTTGGGGTTTTTGGTGGTTTTTTCCCTAGAAAGAACGATACCTAGCACATACATTCAAGGCGTGTAGACACTTTCCTTAAATTGATGCTGTTCCCGATATTGCCTCCGAAGCCAGACAAGATCCTATGGAAGTATCCTCGTGTATTTCGACGCCAGTTCCTGGGCACGCAACTCACTCCCTAAGCAATCACTTTGTAATTGGCATGTTCCGTGCAAAACACAAGACATCATTGCGTGCTCGTACAAGACACCCAAAAACACGTTTCTCACACCACAAGCGCCATGATTGGAACTACATATTTTCCTCGGATACATGCAATGTTCCGGAGCACGAATGGACAACAATGTTGTAGCTTTTAATTAGTCAAGGCGCTACTAAAATTTTCAAAAGTACGGTGAGACTAATGTAACTTATTATCATGGCAAAAAAGAAAGAAAAAAAATACACGGAGCTTATTATCAATGCATATAATAATAAGACATCTTTATGATATAAACGGGAGTTTACCATGACGATTATATAAAACGTCTTTATTATAATTCAGGGATGTGGATTAAAGATTATTCAAAGAATTAGTAGTGTCCTCGAGAATATAATAAAATAATTCCTAACAAATGTTATATTTTTTTGCATGAATTTTTAAACTTTAAGCGAAACCAATGGAGTAGGTTGCTATTTGAGTATAGGAAGGACAGCGAAGACAAAAATAAAGTTGGTTGGGAAGATTGAAAACGAGCTTGCGTTGTCGTATCATGCTTGTTCTTGTGGAATTATCTTATGTTATCGCCGATTAAATCATTAAAAAAGGTTGTATGGGGCAATTAGAAGATAAGCGTAACAAGGTTAACCTGTTAATCACTCAAAATTTGGACTTTATTAACATGTGGCCTGCATGGAAGTGACCTTGTTCTTCAGCTTATTATAATGTTCCGTGGGCCAACTAGGTATGTTTGATCATGTTGCGTTTCATATAATAATTATGTTTGCTCTATGGGCACGTTTTTGGGTAAATAATACAGGACTAGACATCATGAATGAGATCATGCTGGTGAAAGCGAAGCCAAATGATACAGTCCAAGGTAGTGAAAAAACCTTTGACAAGAAACAGTGCGTGAAAAAACAGGATCCTAGAAGGCCAGATCGTCTGTAGAAGCAAAAGGTTTCCGGTTCAGGAATTGGACGAACTAGGCAGTAAACCGGCTCACTAATCACAACTAGGGTTTTACTCTTGACCCAAGTTAAACATTGCATGACTTATATACAAATCATCTATATCAAGTCCATCTCTATTATTGATTATGTGAATTTTTCAATTACTGATTGAAATGGTATTGATCTACGCTATCTATAAAAATACGCATGCAGTGATGCCTCTAATGTAACACCATAACAAGATTAGCGTTAAAATATTGTTGCTCTTCATCGGATCGAATGATGATCCTATGTCTAGAAGTAGCTCATTTTTTGCCCGCTGACACACGTATGGAACGTGCATCAATTGGCTTTGCTTAGAGATTGATCAAGAGGAGTCTAGTTCGAGCCCTCTAGATGCATGCTCGTTGTACGATTTCCTGTTGATGCTAACCAGATAGATGTAAAGAAAAGTTATAAAAATAATTATTTAAAAAGGATTAAATAATCTGTAAAATATCTCCTTTTTCTACCCAAAAGGATCTTCTCGATCTCAGATCAGCTGGCCGTGGACCACCTTTGTCTGCATCGAAATTTTTCGGTGCATGAATCACGGCTAAAATGGTTAGCATCCTTTCCAATTATTACTTCGGACGGACAAAGAGTTAAATAATTGATTACTTTTCAGAAAGAGGGGACAGCACCTGAAGAAAAGACTTGCGTGGAGCTCTTGGAAAGAGGAAATAAAGGCCCGTGCTGAGAGCAGTAGAATCATTGTTCTTATGTGTACGTATGTCTGCAGCACTAAAATGTTCAACGGAATAATGGAGGATATTTGTAGACGAGTAAAAGAAGAAAGAAAGAAAAAATAACATAAATTATTACTGAACTTTATCGTAACATGTAATGTAATTTCTAAATTTTTCATTTATTTAATATGATCCTTGAACTTTAACTCAATATGTGATGTCATTCATAAACTTTTAATTTATTTAATGTGATCCTTAAATTTTTATACATGTTTAATTTAGTCTTTGAATTATAAAAAAAGTGTTCAATATAGTCCTTCTGTTAATTCAAGTTCAGGGACTACATTGAATATTTTCATATAATTCAAGGACTACATTGAACATGTACCAAAAATCCAAGAACCGCATTAAACAAATTAAAAGTTCATGGACCATATTAAACATTAGGATAAAGTTTAAGGATTACATTGAACAAATTAAAAGTTCAGGGGCCACATGGCATATTATGCCAAAGTTCAAGAATTGTTTGTGTCATTATCCCAAGAAAGAATGACAAAAGAAAGGTTGATGACATGATCATCTGTCACGTATAATGATCGGTGATGACTGGACAGCTACATTAGCAATTTTCGATGAAAATTGATCGAAAAAATTATATTGAAATTTTACGTAAAGGTCTAGAACTAAATTGGCAAAATTAAAAAATTTAGGATTAAATTGACATTCATACCATAGATTTAGAACTCCACTTGGCGACATTGAATTAATTGCTTAGGCCTTTTGAATAATGTTGAATTAGATTATACTACCCAGTCTATTGCTTTGGATGAAGATAGACATCCTAATAATAAAATGGGAAAATTCCAAAAAGAGCTCGAAGTGAAATCATTTTCTCAAATAAAGGTCTGAAGTGGACATTGTCTCAAATAAGGGCCTGGATTGTCTTCATTTTTTCAAATAAGGATCTGAAGTGGCCATATCAGTCTCAGATAAGGACCTGACCCCACCGGCCAAAGGGTATTTTCGTCTTTTACTTTTTTGAAATTTTTTTTCTTTTTTTTTTTTTTCCTTTTTCTGTTTTTTCCTTTTCCTTTTCTTTTTTTTCCTCTCTTCCCTCCGCCGGCCTCAGGCGGAGGCCACCCTCGCCCCGCCTGGGCAAGCGAGGGCGGCCCTCACTTGGGCTAGCGAGGGTCGCCCTCGCCGGCGTCGAGTGAGGGCCGCCCTCGCCTAGGCTGGCGAGGGCGAGGCCAACCCAGGCGAGGCGACCCTTGCTCGACGCTGGCGAAGGCCGCCCTCGCCTGGGCTAGCGAGGGCGAGGCCAGCTCAGGGTCACCCGATGTCGGCAAGGGCAACCCTCGCCCTCGACTTGGCTGGTGAGGCCAGGCTAGGGCGAGGGTGGCCCTCACCGGATTTGGCGAGGGTCGCCCTTGCCTGGGCCGGGCGGGCGAGGGTTGCCCCTGCTTGCCTGGCATAGGTGAGGCGACCCTCGCCCGACGCGGGCTGGGCAGCCCTTGCCGGAGGCCAGCGGAGGTCGTCGGCCAGCGCAATGATGGTTGGGAGGGAAGAAGAAAAACGAAAAAGGAAAAAGGAAAAGAAAGTAAACTATATATATATACTTATAATTTTTTTGACTAAAATACCTCTTCTCCGACAACAGAGTAGTCACCGACCGGCTAAACGTCCTTATTTGGGACGATTTGACTACTTCATGCCCTTATTTGAGACGATTTAGCCACTTCAGGCCCTTATTTAAAACAATGTGCACTTCATGCCCTTATTTAAGAAAATGACTTCACTTTGAGTCCCTTTCTAGAATTTTCCCTAATAAAATTGAAATTATTAATTTTTGTTTGGAGGGGAATATATATAGTTGGAAGTTGGAACCGAAAATTGTCATACAAGGAGTGTTGGCATAACTCAACCATAAAAATTTGAGTTCGACAATCTGATATGCATTAAGATTGATAGAAAATGAACTACATAAAGCTTACAAGCGGAAAAAAGCTTGATTTCACAATTGTCGTGGGAACTCTATGTAAGACTTACATGATATAATGAGGGAAAAGCCTCAGTGCAAAATCCAATACATGCAATAATGGCTCGTCTATGTGGGAGATGATCAAGTTTTATTCACTGTGCACATGGATTCTGTGTGCGCGCTCCAATTAGGGATGTATCGGCTACGCTACTCGACATGAATAAGTGAGATGGAGCAGCACAAGAAATGAAACTGGTGGAAAACAAGACAAAATGCTTACCTCCTGGTTCCATAACATACAGCGCAGTCGATCGATATGTGCCAATTCGAGAACTAGTATAAATGAGAGTGAGTGGTTATTGAGAATCATGAAAGCAAAGAGAGGAAGAGTGGAGAAGATCCAGACTTCATTGCATTTAATCACCAACTAGAGAACTAAGCGGTACATGTCCAAACCTTGAGGAGCATAAGTTGTACTACATAGTACAGTGTACTTTCCCTCACCGTCACTATAAGACGTCAAGATCAATTAGTTTAGGTTATATATCACAGTTAGCAATTTCTGGGATTTTACCGATCAAAAAAGATTTCTATGGTTTTACTTCCTTAAGTTATTAGGTCTCATTTGGGTTACTTATCAATATTTAATTGTTCTTTATAATATATAATTTTTTCTATTGAGTTATCAAAATTTATTTGTCTTGATTAAGAATCTCTTAAATTTAAAGTCTAGCTTTATGACGTAGGTTGTCACCAAGACCTCTGCAATCCCAGTTCTAGGTCGATCTAATGTTTACCGGTTCATACAGTCTCAATCCGAGTGATCACGACCGTATGCGCTTCGATCTTGAAACAGAGAGGGGTTCCGGTCAAGGGCAAGGTGCACACGAGAGAGAGAGAGAGAGAGAGAGAGAGAGAGAGAGAGAGAGAGAGAGAATGAGAGAGAGAATGAGAATTTTAGTGCATAGATGTGAGCTGGGGCGTAGGCAAGTGATGAGTGGCGTATGATGGCAGCAAAGTGAGAAGGCCAGCCGAGGGGCAAGTCTTTTTTAGGCTGAGTGATAAAGAAAGGCATTGTAGACTCGTTAAGGTACTTTTGTCACCTAATTGTTTAGGGTGTGTAGCTCATTTGAGTGTGGAATAAGCATGATCCAAATTTTACTGAGAGAAGAAGAAACAGGAGATAATTTTAATTATATCGAACAAAATCTTGTGACGAAAGTAATTTGGTCAGTTTACATATGAATAGTGTGTTTTTGCTAAATAGGGCGTGGAAATAGCAGCACTCTTACTTTACACAATAAAATTTTTGTTTAAAATTTTTCACATCTATAAAGGTGTGTTCTTTTTGCTAGCAATGTAGAGATTTTAAATCAAAATAGATTTGTCTCTATTCGAAAATGCATATGGCAGCCGGACACCTACCTGCTTTGATCTCTGTTTAGCTTTAATTCCACTGACATCAGCAAACTTTTTCCAATTTGTAATGCCCATATACCTAATTAACTATAATAAAGCATCCACCTCTGATTTATTCTTTATGTTTTATGGCCAAAAAAAAAAAATATAATCATCAACCATTTTTTCTCTTTTGTCAATGAGCAGTCAGCAACGATTAATTAAGTAGTTGGATTTAACTACTACATTATATTATTTTTTTCTTGGGAAAGATGACTTGGATTTTTATGTAAAGTTTATATATTAATTAATCAAGTCAGATTATATATATATATATATATATATATATATATATATATATATATATATTTGACTTGGTATCTGATAACCCTTGGCCAATCCATATGGACAAGTCACACTATACTAAATATTGTCACTTACGTATGTCGGGACATCGAAAAATTGAAATGTAGAAAATACGGAGATTATTGAATTTTAAACAAACTAAGGTCCTTTTGTATTGATTGCGTACCTAAATCTTAAAACCTAAAACCTTAAACCCTAACTTACTTTTTTTCTCAACCTCTTACCACGGAGACTATTCTATTATTTTCAGAAGCGGCACATATTCCAAGGTATTCCTCTTGTATTTTTGGCAATCTCGTGCAGTCCAACATAGTTTGGCGTGTTCACATTGCACAGTACTGCAGCTTATATTTTAGATATATATTTCTCAAAAGAAACAATGCACGTGGTATAAACAAGTAAGTAATTGCTGTCGTGACCTACTTTTTGAGGGTCGAACTCGATGAAGCGGGTTTAGAGGTGGGTGTTCATGAAACGGTCCATATGGCACATCACAAAAGATAACCTTTACGAAGCATCGACTTTTTAGTCATCCATACGGTCCGCATGGCACATTATAAAAGACAGCTTACCAAAGCGTCAATTTTTTAGTCATCCATATGGTTCGTTTGGCACATCATAAAAAGACGGCTTACCGAAGCATCGATCTTTTGGTCATCCATATGGTCCATTGATCATGAACGTGGATTTTCCCTAAATCCATACCTCGCGTGACAGCGGATCGATTTATCTTTTTTAAGGAGTCGCCACTAGCCTAGGTCGGGGGTCGGCTATAATACCCAACCGAAATGCGGGAGTTTCGTTTCGGTTTCTACGAAAACCAGAGATCATGAGTTCGGGGACTAGCTTACGTTAATATTTCTATTACCGCCCTTTCAGTACCGCTAAACTTATCACGGTTGTTATCTAAGTTGTCGTGCATTTATTTTTTTACCATTTTCATGTTAAAGTCTTAGTCCACTACGTGATCATGCGTTTTGTTTTTGTGTTTTCATTTAAGATTCTAAACTAATCCTATCTTAGTCTAGAAAAGAAAGAAACAAACTATTGTATTGAAAAAACATTTCGTAAAGTAAATACTCAAAGTATTGAAAAGACAAGCTAATTCTAAGTGTGAGAAAGTAAAACCCGCAACTCGTCGGGTGCTTATTAAAATACAAATTGAAAACCCGAGACATGATCAGGGACGAATGTATTGAATACAAATTGAAACCGGATCGGACATTGGTCTATTGTCATCGTCAAGTGAATACAAATTGAGACCGGATTGGACATCGGTCTATCGCCTTGGTCTTTTACAATTTTGGATTATCCCCTCCATGGATTGCCTCTCGAGTGTCGGCGTTTAGATTCACAACATACATTCACGACAAACAATACACAAAGGAACAACCAAAGAAAAGCAACGGCACAAACAATTTACTAATCAAACACCGGCCAAGGGGTCGACCTTTGCTTTACATGCATTTCGATTCACCCACCCTCCTAATCATTTAACATTATTTGATTAATGGTTAATGACAACGGGCTACCATTTGCATTCAAAAAACGGCAACTCATATCGATTAACCCCTAAAGTCGGATTTTAAGTGACCATAATGGGCTACCCGCCGAATATACATCGGGCCTAACATACATCTAGCAAGCACATGCATAGCAATGAAATAAGCATGCATTCAGGCCCATGGGCCTTATTTCTCAATCAATCAAGCAATGAGAAGTGGGCTTCATAAGGAGACCACTTATTCAGTTATTTTCTAATTTGGATTATTTCTGTTCAGATATGATTAATCCACCTAATGATGTACAAATGAAAGCTTATGTCATGAGGATCAAAAGTCAAGAAGACCATTTTTTCTGATTCCTCGCCGATTTTCACGAAAATGATAAATTTACATTCGGTGACAGTCTGGACCCGGTTCTGTTAGGAATTTCAAAATAATGGCAGAAAAAATAACAAACCTTATCAAAACCGTGTGAAAATTTTTACACAGTTAGGATTCTCCGTGTGTGACAACTTTTATGTTTTGAGTTTTTGCTATAAAGTCCTACAAATTTTTATAAAATTCATTTTTCACCAAGGACTCATTTGCAAATCAAATTTTAACCCGAGAAGACTTTATATGAAATATTTAGCAAATTGACCTCTAAAAATTGCTATTAGGCCCTCAAAATTTCCAGTCAACACAATGAGACCCCAATGAACAACTTTGTAGTTTTGAGTTTTTGCAAAGGAGGACTCTAACTTTATCAAATTCGGAGAAACATACTCTGGATTTCAGAGGAATGAAAATCAGATCTGAACACAGATACTGATTGAATCGTGAAAATTCCTTTTGAAGATCCACATGAACTCCGATCTTGATAAAGTTAGTATCACTGGAAAGCTCTTGATCTCAATGTGAACTTTCATGAAGAACATTTTTTTATATTTTGAACACACGAATTTATAAAAATCAAAGAATACACGAAGGTCAGTCAGAAACTCATCTATCATCAGATCTATATCTAAATGGCGTTGTAAATCGTCCTGTCCTAACAGGCTTGAAATTTTATGAAATTTTTATGATGAACAGATTACGATGTGTTCTATGACTTTCATGAAGAAATTTTCTTCAAAAAACGATTGTAGAACAGCATGACGTCAATCAGGAAATCATCAAAACAGAATAGAACATGACATTCCAGATTCTGATCCTAGCTTACGAAGTGATTTTCACCTAGCAAACGATGTCCAATTAAGGCATGCGACATATCAAATCGAAGCTTGAGATGATTTTTACGATTCTCTAGTTCATCACTTTGCAAGATTTCGACGTTTACAAGCTGAAATCGCCATCACGAGCAGATTGATCATCAGGATCCGAGAATGACAGATTTGAACTCACCTTGTATAATGATGCTTCGACGCGCAATCGAGCGATCCGGTCTCCGTATTCAGATCAAGAGCAGCACAGAGAAGTCTCGGAAAGCTCGACAAACCTATGAGAATCGAGTGGACAAGCTATAGTGAGAACCGACTCGATTTCGCACTAATGAACTAATAACGAAAAATCAAGTAGAAAGAAGCGATCCGGTGGCTGTTCAGCGGGAAGCTGGCCACCACAGCCACGTGAAGACACCAAGGAAGGCTGCTGGAGGTTCGGGATCGCCGGAGGGACTGCCGGCTAGCTGATTCAGCCGCTTGAACCGGCTGATTCAATCACCGGCGACTATGCCGGTGATGTTGCCGTGGAGGAGATCACGCTGGACAGAGCAGTTCCAGCCACCAGCAAGGACAATTGGTCTTGCGACCAGCCTTGTTCCGCCGTGGAGGACGGCGGTGAGGCGGTGGCTCGCCGGAAAACGGCCGGCGGGAGGTGGAAAGGCCAGCGGCCGAGAGAGAGATCAAGAGGGAGAGAGAAGCGTGAGCTAGACAGAGAGAGAGGGCAGGGAGGAGAGAGAATTTAGATCTGAAAAAATGTGAGACCTTCCAAAATTTTGGAGGGAAAAAAGCCTATATTCTCCCCTTAACCTTCAATCCTAGCTCTTAGATTGATCTAATGGCCTATAATGCTTCCTTAAGGATTAAGAATATTCCTTAAGGACTAAGGATAGGTGACATGGCATTATGGATGGCCATGATCAATTCTGAATGAATGGCCATGATTAATTTGCTTACCCTTAATTAATTTGCTTAATCCTTAAGGAAGGGCATTTTAGTAATTTCACTTAGGGGCATTTTTTTAATTTTCATTTAAGGGCATTTTTGTCATTTTGGGCTCAAAGGGATGTGGCCGGCCTTGGTTGGTCGAAATGGACTGCCGGCCGCCGGATTTTCGATCGGAAAATGGCCGGTCCGATCAGACCGGTTCAATTCGGGTCCAATTTGTTCTAATTTTGTGCAATTTAATCCCTATCATGATTGATTGACCTAATCAATATTGAATTCGATTAAATTGGATTGAACCAATTTGAAATTCATGCACAAATTGATCCAATTTAACTTGTTTAGCTCATTTGTTCTTGAATTTGAGTTAATTGCATGGCCAAGCTAGACTAGCGAATTTAATTGAAGTCCAATTAGCCAAATTGAGTCTCAATTCATCAAATTGAATGTTAGTCTAGAGTGGGTCAAGTTGAATTGCACTAATTGGACCAATTATTCTTAGACTCCTCAATCATTGGATCACTAAATTGATCAAATTGGCTCAAATTCATGTGAATCTTCCAAATTTGATTTCGAATTTGGATTTCATATAAGAAATTAGGCTCATTCGTGTCTCAATTGCACAAATCATGAAGAATTGATCAAAATCACTGATTAGGGCCTAAATTGGGGATTTTTGCGTTTGGCTTGGAATCACAAAATTGGTTCCAAAATTGAAAGTAATACAACCTCTAGATCAAATGTCATGAAGGAAACTAACCTAAAAAATGACTAGAAATGAAGTAATTTCATTTTTGGCCAATTTGAACCAAATTCCGCAAATTGGGAAAAAGTTGATTCTAAACCGATTTTTGTAAAATTTCAAATGCCAAAGTCAAATTGAATGTAAAATAAGATAATTTTGGGATTTTTGTATATTTCAATTTTTTTGGTCAAAGGTTTGATCAAAAGTCAAATCCTGGTTGACCTTTCACTAGGAGCTTGATTTTATGATCAAATCTTTGAATTTTTCTGAAATTTCCACTTCCAAAGTGAAATTGAATTTGAAAGGAATCTTTTTATGCGAAAAGCTTCAATTTGACCCGGGGTTGACTTTTGGTCAAAGGGTTGATCAAAAAGTCAACGCGAAAGTCAACAATTTGACTTTTCGGGTTTTTACATGAAATGAATAGAAAATCGTCTACAGAAGCTAGGCCAACAAACAGAATAAAAAATTGACACTTTATGTTTAAGAAACTGGTTCTGTCGCAATCGGAAACCCTAATCTCGAGTTTTCTGCTTTTAATGACGAGTCGGCTAAAAATTAGATGTCAACAATTGCCAATAATTAGTTGTCATTTGTCATGATCTAAGATGTGTCCAATTGGTTGCTTGACAAGAATTGTCTCGGGCAGGAAAATAGTGTTTCATTGATTATTGCAGAGTGGCAATAAAATGATAGTATACAAGCCCTCTAAAATGATAAATTTATTGCTATTTGCTACGTAACTTATACTATATGTCACTGTCATAAATCCTAAACAAAAGTTTTCCAACACGTTGTTTGCCATGTTTACAATTGAAACTTGTTAGAATGATCCAACATTTGCGAATCTTCGATGTTATTATGTAGATGAACTCAGAGCAAATGGCGTCATGATTAAAGCCCGGAACAAGGAGGCATGTGTTCGGGTGGCGGAAGCATCTTCTGATCCTTGTTCGGCCCCTCTCCGATGACGAGGACCGTGTCCATTCCCCAGCTCGCATGGCGTTCTAAGTGACAGTGCATGAACCACACTCCTACAAGCACCCATGAAATAATAATCTGTCAATTATGCATTCATATAAAAGTCTAAATCCGTGCAAACTATATGTTTCTATGCGTTTCCACCGATAAAATCATAGTACCTGGATTATCGGCCTTGAATCTGATCGATGTCCACCCATTTTTGGGGAGTCCAACGGTGTTAACGTAAGGCGGATCCACCGTATTGTAATTTGATATATAGGAGTCGCTGAAATTTCCGTCGCCCATTCCGACAACATAAAAGCTATAGCCGTGTAAATGCATGGGGTGATTCTCCGCTGCTCCGAAATTGGTTCCCTGGAATCTTATTTCAACCTCCTCGTTATAGTTAATCATCAACACTTCGGTACTTACATAGGCAGCTTCCCCTAAGGCTGATACATTCCCGGTGTAGTCGAACACGAAAGGTGGTTTATTCGGAAAAGTTTTGTTGTAGACTCCAATTATATTGCTGCACACACCACAAACACAATGTTATAGAGACATTTGGATGTTGAATTACGCCTTCGCTCCAAGACAATGGAGGTTTTAACCAGTTAAATGGGTTCGGTTTGGAAAATATTTCAACCCGAATCAACTCTATTGGTTTAAGAAAATATTCAATCCAAACAAATAGGATCAAAGTTGGTAGTATAATGATTTACTTACTTGTAGTATGCTTGGAGAATGCTAATTGACGGAGTTGAAAAACTTATGTTGTTCAAGCTTGCCGAATGCATACTGTCCTGTGGACCGGTACATGTTTTATTAGCAGGACATGGCTGCTGATTCACAGATACCGTGATCGTAATGTTCCTAGTAATGTGGGTTGGAACCGTGGAAGGGTGATCTTTGCTGTTCAAACTCCTCAACTGGATAGTGAAGTTTCCGGCATCACTCTTGTTGGTAAAACTTGGAAGCTCGGGTAATGCAGGAGTCTCCAAATGGTTATAACTGCCGTTGTATTGGAATATTCCCCTTGTGACATTTTCATTGGATGGGGCATTGGTGTCCACAAATGGACTGAAAACCATGTAGTAGTGACCAGGGGATTGGTTCGCGGTGACCAAAACGTCCATCGTTTGACCAGGAGTTATCATGAGGTAATTGGTCTTCAGTGGCTTCAGATAAGCTCCATCCATTCCGACCACAGTGAGATTGTGCTTGGCTATGCCGAAAAACATCTCTTCGTTCATCCCAGAATGGATGATCCGAAAGAGATACGTTTTTCCTTGCACAACCGTTATATTGTACATCGAACCTGCAAAAGAAAAGGAAAACACCTTGTTTAATAATATTGATGGAGATCTTGAAATTACATGTACTGTATATCAATCATCATTAATTAGTTATAAGGCATAATAATTTCGCAAGATCTCATTTCATTGATATAGAGTAAAAAGGTTCTACTTCATTACCTTTGAATAAGACCTATTCTTTTTAATATTAATAGCATAAATCACACTCATATATATACACAAGAATTAGTACCATTAGAGCATGTATAACTGTCTCCTGGTTGACCATTGATGGTATAGGCCACGGACAAGTCTGGATCACCACCGGTTTCAAGAGCTTCATCGATTATGGCCTTTGTATCTCTCGCATACCATTCAGCTGCATCCAAAATTATAGTTTCATTAAGAAAAACAATACAAACTGTTATTTGTGTGTGTGAGTGAAAAACTTATTTTTGTCAATTGAGTTAGTTGAAAGTAGAATACCGATCACGATTGTGTATTGTTCATCAAATTTGTAAGGGTAGTTGATGTTTTTGACAGGCAAAATGATTATAGGGCCGTGTACAGTGGCACGTGTCCAGTCGCTGTGAGCATGCCACCATAACGTGCCTTCTTCTTCGGTGAGTATGACTTTCTGAAGGAAGCTTGAGTTCGTAGGGATTAGACATTGTGTGATGTTCTCCGGACCGTCAGACCAGGGATACCTTAATTGTCTCACTCCGTGCCTGCATGTGTGTACAATATTAGGAGGGAGAGAGGGAGCGAGGGTGAGGGTGGAGGAAGGGTGGTTTTATTTTTACCAGTGAATAGTGACTCCATAAGGTCCGATATTGGTGACATTAACGTAGATGGTGTCGCCCTTGTGAGCACGGATCTCCGGCCCAGGAAACATACCATTCACAGTCAATACGGTCCGATTCGTCTCACACAACATCTTAATAGGTGTCTCCTTCACCTGCAACAAATAAAAAATCATCCTAAACAACTAGGACCGTCGAAAGAATCTCTCTTATCAAATTGACGCAGAATCGTTTTGGCACATCCTTATTTACTAGTAACATTATTTAATTCAAAGGCCCGCATCTGCACTTTCTTCTCGAATAAAGATTCCAAATGGGTTGGAAAGCGCGTCCCAAAAGAATAAGTAAATAAACCATTCAGCTGTAGACATTTTGGGATTACTACCAAACTCTCAAGAAGTTGAAATCATCAGAAAAAATGCATGTAGTTTGGTATTTGATAGCTGTAATACTCGGGCTCGGGCATAGTCCAAGACTTAGCTAGCTGAAGATTTAATTGTAAAGAACGTCTGTGAAATAAAGAGATTCTTACATTGAATTCCCTAATACGATAACATCTACGAATTATGAGATTACGATCAATTGTAATGCTTTAAAACTAGTCTAAAACTTGTAACGAATGTGCGAGCTGTCACTAAATGTTCTGTATGGCCCGAAAAAGACGCACTTCAAGTACTCAAGAAGGGGATGTTCCTACTTACCACAAAATCATAGTGAAGGACTTCGCCTTGAGCCATGCAAAAGAGCAGGGTCAAGGTGAACGAATACCCTAGAAATGTTCCCATCCTCTCTCTCTCTCTCTCTCTCTCTCTCTCTCTGAACTTGTACCAATCACTTGATCCAGAACTAAGAAAGGAGACTTTGTGTTATGCTCAAGTCTCTTTCTTCTTGTGACCTCCCCCTTCCATTGAAAGGGGCTATTTATAGGGAACTTCTTTCAATGTTTAGCAATCGCTGTCTGACTAACGAAGCCGTCGTAGCGGCCACAGAAACGTGTCCTTTGACCTCACAACAAATGAAACTTAAAGCAAGAAAAATTGGCATTTGTCTTTTAAAGGGCTCATGCTCGTTTTCCGGTGTTTCCACGAAGAAGAAGAAGAAGAAGAAGATTGGCTAAAGAGCACCGCAGAGCAACAAGCTGACAAACTTCTCTCATCTTACTTAGTCACACCAGCCAGAAAGAGAGAGAACTTAAAAAAAAAAAAAAACATTTTCTTGACGCGCTCATCAACTGCTTCAAGACTCGCTACCGATTCCTGTTTCGTTCTTTTCTGGAGACCAATAGGCGTCAATGTTTTCGTGGAGGATTGCTCGTAAAAGAAGAAGACAATGCAAATTGCAAAATATAGGAATGTAAAAGCGAGTCTGGTTTATTTTTCTGAAGTGAAATAATGGCTTATAGTCATGGCTAGACCCGTCAAACGGGCGGATCGAGTCAGGTTGGGTTTGGTCCAACCCAAATAGACCCATTTTGACCTATTTACATGCAATACAAATCTGGCAACCTTGAATCGATCCGACCCATATTGCTAAAACACTTCAATATTTAAGCAAATTTAGAAAAATTCATACATAAATTGAGGCGAGACGTGACAGTGTGGAATGAGAGAGTGCGAGTTCGAGTGAGGGTGAGAGAAAATGAAGAGAGAATTGTAGATGTAAGTTAGGTCTAATTAAGTTGTAAACTCATTTAATACCAATATTTCATTGGGCTGTACCATTTTAAATCAATTTATGACTCATTTACTAAATATAATTAATCCATATAATAACTCAGCCTATCACATATGAATTAAAAAATGGGTTTTATAATCGCTGCTTCTACTCATTTTCTATAAGATCTACGTAGTAGGGTTGTTTTTTTTTTTTTTTAGGTAAGGTACGTAGTAGGGTTGTTTATAGACCATGCTTTTTCAATTCCTTCGCGAAATAGAAACGTGTACGAAATCTCTCTTCTGATCTTGCTCTTGACATATAAGCATACAAAAGCGGATCCGGACATGATTTGATTAATGAGAGGTGGTATGAATCATTAACTTGACTAGGGATTAGTCGGTTTGTTTATGATTTGTTTGGTAAGTTGCGCAAGCCCTACACCTTTATAGTTGCTAGGATCTACATGATTGGCAAGAGATATTCAGCAGAGAAAAATGAAAGCATAAGAGAAAAACGTTTTTTCTTATAATGGTTTATCAAATATAAAAAGAGAAAGAATAACTTTGTACACAATTCTAGCTAATGTTCTAGGTGCTCTAGTGAAGAAGGCAAGTTGTGCCTTATTGCGCGTCACCAGTTATGCGATGCAGACACTTCACGCATGATATCTTCTCTTATTTGGAGAATCTTTTGAGAGCATTTATTCAGTCAGCTTAAGCAACCAAAAAAGAAAACTTTTTTAATTTTTTAAGAGGTGACTTTCCTATGACATGTGTAAATAAAAATTTTACCAATCCAATTATTCCTTAAAATGCATAACTGCCTTTTCAGAAACCCTAATCTTTTAAAGTGCGTAAATACATTTTTTTTGGCCAAAAGTTGCCTAGGTTATTGAGGTAAAAATAAACCACAAAAATTACCATTCTCCTGTAACATAAAAGAATTTAGAAAAGAGTTAATACCACGAAAAATCCAAAAATTGGTAAATTTATCACAAATTTATCCTAAACTAAATTTTTTATCACCAAAAACTCTAAACTGATACATTTGTGACAAATTTATCCTCTATTAAATTAAATTAATACCAGAAAAATAACAAATGGGTAAATCTGTAACAAACAGATGGATAAAATCCTAAATTGATACACTCGTTAACTGTCACGTGTCATCCAATTCATCAATTTGACTGTAAGATTTAATGGAAACTAATTGAGGGTAAATTTGTCACAGATGTACTGGTTTGAGGTTTTTGTAATATTAACCCTTTAGAAAAATTATCTTAAACTTTTCCTCACTTTATACTTGTTTCTTCCCCCAAATTTGCATCGTTTATGGAGAATATTTGGCACCCTTAGATTTTCTATGCATTTTTAGGCTCCAACGTGCAAATTTTCTTTTTCTGGAATTTCATGGTGCAAATCATAACCTTCAAAAGAAGGAGACAATGCCAAATTTGGTTGTGGTTTTATGTGATTTTTCCCGATGTCAGGTAACGACTTATAGCGATGGCTGCTTCTACCAATCGTCTGTGAGGTGTACACGGTCGAACTTTACCGAGATTTGATTGATGAGCACGCCGTTTCAATCAAGATTTGACTAGGGATTCAGTGGGTGTGATCATGATTCGTTAGGCAAGTTGCATATTATATTGCTTTGACTGGATTGTAGCGAGGATAACACATCTGGTCAATTTTCTTTACAACAATTAATGCACCCCCCCCCCCCCCCCCAATCGGAAGCCGGGGACATTCTAAACCAAGGGAAGCTTCACTCGGAGCATTTTTAAGCGAGACATGCCTAAAAATTTTGACCGTACCGTGGTCCAACGTTATGTTGGGAAAAACAAGCCATCGAATAACAAAATAAATTTTGCCCAAAATAAATAAAATAAGAAAACTAATAGGACACTAAATTTATATAATTCCATCAGATAGGACTCCCTTTACGAGGAGAGTAACACAAAATTTTACTGTAAATAAAATGATATAATGAAAATTACAACCATACTCAAATCACTCAAACAATTATCTTTTCTAGCCCCTAATTAAACCTAATAACGCACATAATATTTAACCCTCACTATTCGTCACAAAATTATTTCTCAATCTCAAAAAAGAATTACATAAAATCTTATGGAGAATTTCCTAACCATTCCTAAATATGTTGGATGGATTCCAATTCAATTCTAAACTTTCAAATTTTACCAATGTAGTCCTAAATTTTTGTACGAAATTCCGATTTAGTTCTTTCAGTAAATTACCGCTAGAGATCACTGACGGGACGGTCTAATCATTGCGGGCCATCCTATATTACATGACTAGCGATCTAACATGTACAGCTCAATCGATACCAAGTCATTTTCTTTAATTTTCTGAATTTTTTTACTTTTTCTCTTTGTATCCTTTTTTTCCTTTCTCTTGCTACTGTTCATCATCTCCTTCTTTTCTCTGTTTCTTTTCTAGAAATGAAGGGAAACTTTCATGAGCAAAGTTGAAGGAGCAAGGACGAGGGAAATCTTCACAAGCGAGATTTGCGGCCTACGAGCTTCACAAGAGAAGGTCGAGCCGTCATGGATGACAACCTCGATTGAGGTAGTCTATGGCTTCCACGACTTCAGGGCTCGGCGATCTCGAATCTAAGGTCGACCTGCCGTGGACGACAACCTCATTCAAGGTTGTCCATGGCTTCCATGACCTCGGATCGAGTTAGTATGGGCTCAGCGACCATGAATCTATGGTTGAGACACCATGGACGACGGCTTAGGATCAAGTTCGTGGGGGTTTGGTGACCTCGACCTTCGTCGGCCTAGAGTTGTAAAAAAAAAAAAAGAAGTAAAGAAATAAAATAAAATAAAAATAATAAATTCAAAAAAAACATTTTAAAATTATCTATATTAGCGCCGGCCATGACACGTAGGGCAGCCGTTCCATGTCAGCGATTTTCCATCAAATTTGGCCGGATAAACTAGATTGGCAAATCGTTAAAGGTTTAGGACTCAATTGACACAATTGAAAGATTTTTGTCTCAATTAACACAAATGCAATAAATTTAGGACTTTTTTGGTAATTCTCCCGCACAATATCAATAACCAATCCAAATGAATCATCACATATTAAGTGTTGTGTATTTTTTTCTGATGAACTTTGACCCATAATTTATCAGTTTGGTAGGACGGGAATGTCTTACGTTGCATCTAAAACATCTCCCTCGTCAGAGTTCTGCTTTTGGGGATGCATCGACAAAAGAATGTTGGGAGAACGAAAGGCAATGTATATATTTGAAGCGCGTAGACACTTTCCTCAAATTGATGCCACAAACCTATCCTATGGAAGTTTCCTACTGGGTTTCGACACCATTTCATTGGCGTGTAATTCATTCCTTAAGCAATCATTTTTCAATTGACATGTTCGCTCCACGACACGAGACACCGTTTCAATTGACCGTCCTATCACATGACAATAAGAGCACGAAAACAAGGTAAGTTAGTTGGGAACACTGAAAACGAGCTTACCATGTCATATCGATGAAGCTTGTTCTAGTGGAATTATCTTGCGTGATTGCCGATTAAATTATTAAAGTTGGTCATGTGGGGGCTATAGAAGATAAGCGTAACGTGGCCATTCTCTTAGTCACTACAATCGTGGACTAAATTAGCTTGTCGCATGCATGGCAGCGACCTTGTTCTCTAGATTTACTATAACATTCCGTGGGCCGACTAGGTAATTGACCATGTTCTGTTTCATTTGATAATTATATTTGCTATAAAGACACGTTTTAGGTTAAATAATGTGGAACCTGACAACATAAATGAGATCATCCTAGTCAAAAGAGAAGCCAATGATTCAGTCCAACGTTTTACTTGCCCAAAAGGAAAAAAGATCCACTACAAGATTTCTGGGAATCAATCCATTGAGACGAAATATTCGAAGAAGAAAAAACCAAATTTCTTTCTTATTTATGAGTTAGTTACAGAGAATATGACTTTGACAAGAAACAGTGCGTGCACAAACCGGATTCTAGAAGGCCAGATCAAATGTGGAAACAGCAGCCTTCCGGTAAGCCAGTCTCTTTACGTAAACCAGATAAGCTTTAAGCCTTCACCAGATCCACCCCTTTCAGGCAGGAGCCAAATAAAGCATCAGTCTCATGTTACAGATATGCACGAATGATGCAGTAGACAAGGTTGTGCAGAAGGTAAAAAATTTGTCGTTTTTATATAAGTTGCTCATGTTTGACCCGCTGATACACTT